TCAAGATCGCCTTCCGCGTCAGGAACACGGACGGCACCAACCTGCTGGGCCCAGCTACGCCCAACCCCGCCTGCTTCGTCCAGCGCGTCCAGGTCTTCGCCAGCTGCGACGACATCAACTACACCGTGGCCGTGCACGACCTGCTGAAGGGCCGAGAATACAACCGCAACAAGGCCATGGAGGGTTTCGACAAAGTCGACGACCCCCACCGCGCGGCGCACCAGGGCGGCTACGCGGACGTGCTGCTGCGCCCCACCATGGTGGGCATCCTGCGCTGCGGCAAGATGCTGCCGCCGCAGCTGAACCTGGCCATCGAGATCGAGTTCGCGGACGCCGCGACTGCGCTCGAAGATCCACTTGCTGGCCAACCCGGGGCAGGACGTGGCGCCCGTCGGCGCAGCGAGGCAGGAGGACAGCCTCCTGGAGTCGCAGATGCAGCTGGGCAGCCTGCAGTACCCTCACAACCGCATGAAAGGAGCCTCGGAGCACTTCCACTTCCTCTCGGTCCTTGCGGGTACTTACGACGACACGGTGCGCAACATCGACATCGGCCGTGTGGGCTACCTGCGCCACAGCCTCATTGCCGGCTTTCCGACCGAGCGCGTGCCCAAGATGCCATTGAGTGGTGTCAGCACTCGCTCGGGCGACCTTGCTCGGTTCACCTTCAAGGGCCTGGACGGCACGATGACGGACCTGTTCATCCACCTGGTGGCCTACCAGCTGGTGACGCTCTCCGGCACGGGCGTCTCGGTGCTCGACTAAAAAAATGCCCCCTTTGAGGGCAGCCCAGTTTTTGCACCGCCAAAAACCAGCAAAATCTCCAAAAAAAAGCCCGCTGTCGTTCGCCGTCGTTTTTGACGTCGTTTTTGACGACAAGTGACAGCGCCACAAAAATGACAAAAAAAAAGCCCGGTGCCGCTCTTAGTCGTTTTTGACGTTTAGTGGCACCGCCAAAAAACATGCAAAATCACGGAAAAATGGACCTGTTCCAGGCTCCTCGGATCCGAGAAAGCTAGAACGGCCTAATCCGGAATGCTCAGCCGCTCCGCAAGCTCTGCCGTGGCCGCACGCGCAATCTCGTCGCACAGCGTAGCAGGAACGCTGTAGAGCAGCTCGCGCGACTGCTGGCTGACCCTCTCGTACTACCCCTCCATCAGCCGAGGCCCCCGCTGCGCAGCCCGGAGGTGCCTGCCGTCCTGCCACGCGTCGCAGCGGCTGCCGGGCCTGCACAAACCTCGCCTCGGCCTCCAGCGCATGTTGGTCCACAGCCGCGTCTGCTTCCTGTACGCATTTCCACCCAGGGCAGGCGCTCCATGAACGGGCGGGTTGTTGCCAGCCCGCAACAACCAATGGGTGTTGTCAATCTACAACCCAAAACAGCCCGCAGTGCATGAGGGTGTGGCCGGGGCTGGACAACGGCATGCGGCTGAAGAACCAGGAGCTGCTGCGGGCCACCCGGCCGAGCCACGCAGTGACCTACGCCAGCTGCCAGGGCCTCACCCTCCACAACCGCGTCCGCCTGGAGTCGTGCCACCTCACGCTGCGCCACCTGTACGTGGGCGCGTCAAGGGCGACGAGCTCCGAGCTGCTGGAGGCGGCCTCGCCGAACGGGCAGCGCGGCGCCTCCAGGGGCTCCAGCATGAGGTGGCGCGCCTCGAAGAGCACGCCCTACTGCCTGCCCATCAGCCACACGTGCCGGGCCTCCGCAAGCGCGCGGCCCTTGCGACGCGAGAACTCCGCGGGGTGCGGCACGGTTGCCGGCCGGGTCCCAGAAGAGGCAGCGCTCCAAGTCGATCTTGCACTTGACGTGCTTGCCCTTGGCGTTCACCTTGACGGCGCGCTGCAGCTGGCTCTCAAGCTCAGTGCGGGCGGCGCCCGCGGAAAGGGCTTCTGGAAGATGATCATGTTGTCGATGACGCCCTGCTCCACCTCCTCCGTCCACAGCTCCAGGTCGGTGTTGCTCGCAAAGCGCACTCCGACCCTCTTGGCCCCGTCGTCCTGGAAGTTGCCGGGCTCCCACAGCACCTCCATCCTTAAACTCCTCTTGAACTCGGAGCCGTCGTCGGAGTACACGTTGGCCGGCGCCCTCAGGGTTTGGAACACCTTCTTCATGATCGCCGCGGTTGTGGTTGCAAAACGGTCCTTTAGCGGCTCAGCGTCCACTTTTTTCGCAAGGTCGACGGCTACCAGCATGTCGGGGCAGGGCTTGCCCCCGAAGGCCTTCATGTCGGCCAGGTCCACTTGCAGCTGGTTCATGGGCTCCAGAGGCACGAAGCTGTTGTAGCCCCTTTTACCCGGAGGCCGTCCAGAACGCCTAACTTCATGTCTGGAAAAGCTGGGGTCGCGGGACTTGCAGCGTCTGCGCGATGCTGCCGAAGCCGGTGCGGATTCTCGTAGACGGCCTTGATGGTTCGTCTGCGGGCGTCGGCCATGTTTCTTAGTGGTTCTTCGGCCCCGCTGGGCCTGCCAGGCTTCCACGGAGTCCAGCCGGGCCTGGAAGCGGCGCCCGGGCCTGGAGGTGCGTGGCAAAAAAGTGCGCGCCTTTTCGGTTTGAACTTTGTCCCATTCTCTTCACAGTCCCATTCTATTCGCGAACAGACGGGTTAGAGTCCCATTCTATTCGCAAAGGGAGATTGGTCGCGGCTAGTATGGGGTAGAGTCCCAAAAAAAGTGGGCCCCTGCCAGTCTATGGAGTTCCAGAAATAGACTCTTGTCAGGAATAGAATAGGACTCTGTACAAAAATAGAATGGGACTTCATGCCGGAGTAGAATGGGACTTTATGCAGGAGACTTTGTTCGCGAATAGGCTGGAAGTCTACCTCGTTCTATTCGTGAACGGAATGGGATTCTATACAATTCTACTTCTTATCGTGAGCCACATGATGAACCTCTGTCTGCGGGACGTGTGAATTCCTCCGGCCATGCCTTCTGATGGTGATTCTCCCAAAAAGGGCTCTTTTTTTCGTGTTCTTGCTTGATCACATTGGCACAAGACTCCATTCAGTACATGTGAAATAGTGTGACAAAGCAAGTCCCCTCTGCTGCCATATGGGTGCTTATCTTTCATTGACTGGGTATAATCAACGGTGTTGGTTCTACCCCTTTCGAAACGAAAAAACGTATTACCGACAAAAATGCCCCTTTAAGAGCTTGTCAAACACTGGAGTTTTGGCAATGTATCCAGACCACAACAAACCAGCCGTCTTCTTTTTCTTCCTTTAGTATACCGTGCATCTTTCAGCATCACAGCATGCCTGCATGGTTAAACTTTGCATGTGCTTGTAGTCGTGATGATTTTAGCTCACGGCTAAATACTCCACGCAATTGCAAGTACGCACATATGATGCGCTTCACAGCTTCTCTGTTTTCACCCGCATTGTGAGCATACTGGTTCAGCGTGTCTACGGCAGCTGCTCTCAGCAATTTGCCACGGGAAGGTGTGAACAAAGTGGCAAATTGCAAAGAAACCATCGCGTCCACAAGCTTCGAAACAAGTAGTGAAGGGACCCAAACTTGACCCAAATAAATGTTGCTCAAAAATACAGGATACTGCATGTGAGTGTCCATTTTTTCCAAAGAGGCTCCCAATGTTGAGACACGCCCCATCGCTGCCTCACACGTTGATAAGGCCAAACTACAAGATGCCGGGGTGTTCTTATATTCCTGGCCCCAGAATGACCAAAGGTGAATCTTCTCAGACTCACATGTGTTCCGGGTGTTGACCTCTTGACTCATTTGACCAGACCCGGGCGGCAGGTGGATGAGGCGCTTTTGGAGTTTCTGCTGACGGATGAGTTGCGTGCAGATTCAGGTCAAGCATCCAGGATGTGTCAAGGAAAAGAACCTAGCGTGATGGTTGCCATTTCAGTTCGTTTTTGAACCCCTTAATACACCTTCCAAAAGGGGGATCTTCATAGGAGCCCCCCGCAATTTGTGACGATTGGCACACTTCTGTGGCTATGCAGGAAACATTGACACTTGGTTTGGCTGTGCAGTTGTGTTGTTTGTTAGCCATACTCCGTTTGTGCCTTGTCTGATTTCCTGTTTGTCTTCATGTCTGTCTGTCTGTCTGTCTGTCTGTCTGTCTGTCTGTCTGTGTCTGTCTGTCTGTCTGTCTGTCTGTCTGTCTGTCTGTGTCTGTCTGTCTGTCTGTCTGTCTGTCTGTCTGTCTGTCTGTCTGTGTCTGTCTGTGTCTGTCTGTGTCTGTCTGTGTCTGTCTGTGTCTGTCTGTGTCTGTCTGTGTCTGTCTGTGTCTGTCTGTGTCTGTCTGTCTGTCTGTCTGTCTGTCTGTCTGTGTCTGTCTGTCTGTCTGTCTGTCTGTCTGTCTGTCTGTCTGTCTGTCTGTCTGTCTGTCTGTCTGTCTGTCTGTCTGTCTGTCTGTCTGTCTGTCTGTCTGTCTGTCTGTCTGTCTGTCTGTCTGTCTGTCTGTCTGTCTGTCTGTCTGTGTCTGTCTGTCTGTCTGTCTGTCTGTCTGTCTGTCTGTCTGTCTGTCTGTCTGTCTGTCTGTCTGTCTGTCTGTCTGTCTGTCTGTCTGTCTGTCTGTCTGTCTGTCTGTCTGTTTGTTTGTTTGTTTGTTTGTTTGTGTGTGTGTTTGTTTGTTTGTTTGTTTGTTTGTTTGTTTGTTTGTTTGTTTGTTTGTTTGTTTGCTTGTTCATGCATGTGTTACCTAAATATTTTCTTTCGTTGTTTGCTTGCTTGCTGGCTTGCTTGCTTGCTTGCTTGCTTGCGTGCTTGCTTGCAGAAACGCTCACACTGCCCTTCAGCTTAGTGACACCGCTTGAGAATGGCATTCGCAGTTGCCGCACGCCAACTGCACTCGCTGTTCGCCATGAGGCTTGAGACCCTAATTTTTCATTCACAAGAGGCCTCGTAGGGTCTCCGGAACTTTGATTGATTTTAGAAAGAAATACCTCATCATACAAAATGTGTTGAGCACCCACCTGTGTTGCTCGCCTTGCACGTGGAGGTGCCTTGGTGCTTCTGCCTAATTTGGCCCGTTGCTCAGCCAGTGTGTCGGTGCAAGCAGCGCATATCAAACTGCGCGATAGAGTCCACGTAGCCTTCTTCCACATGGCATGAGCCACGGTTTGCCTGCTCCCGGAGCCGTCTTTGGGTGCGAGCGGTAACGCGAGACGCCTTCCTGGTTCACCAAGTGCAGAAGCCATGGTTGTTGGTCTTGAAGCTGTGGCTGTGGCTGTTGGGGTTGGGGCTGGAGCTGGAGCCGGGGTTGTCGGCGGCCAAGAGTCGCTGTCGCAATGCCGCCAGATGTTTTCCCGTACACTGTCACATATGGCTGGCAAGGACAATTTGAAGGATGGTCAAGGACACCGAGCGCAGGCAGGAGCAGAGCTTTTGCGGCATGGCTGGGTTTGCACTACTTGCCCCAACGACAAATTTGCCATGGTGATGCCCAGCAACAAAGAATGCGTCATGCGCATTCTGGACATGGATATTTTTGCGAAGAACCAACAATTGAAGAGTCAGATGGAACAGAATCTTCGGTTTGCATTGGCGCTTCAGCCTGGACAAGCGGACTTGATGAAGCAAACAATTGCAACCGACTTGGCATCGCACAAACAGTTCTTTTCCATCATGATGCTTTTCTTTGCAAGAGCATTGCCTGGCAGTACATGTGAAGATTCACCATTTGCTTCCGAGACCATTGAGGAGGTGTCTGCACGTGTTGCAGCATTCGGATGTGAATACAAGCATGCTGCCAGGAAGTTGGAAGACTTCGGCATTGATGGATCATACTTGGCAGAAGAGGGCTTGTCGGAAGCGGAGCTTGAGCAAGACTTCGAAGTTGTTTCGCGGTTGCAGCGAAAGCGGCTTTTGCAGCACTTTGCCAAGTACAAGCCGCTACAGAAACACTTCATCGCGATTGGCTTCGTCGCCTCCTGTGCCAACTTCGAGTATGCAGGTAGGGGGCTGTTCACCAGGGCCTTGTCGCATGAAGAAATCAATTTGGCGGCAAGCACAATGATGGCCTACAGAAGCGCTGCCTCTTTGCTGTCTGAGCCGTCCTGCCCGGACTCCAAGCCATGCCATCTTCAATTGGCCGAGATCTCACAGCTAGCACAAGGTTCTCAGACTGGCTCGTGGGAACAAGTTTCTGCCATTGACAGCAAGGCGGGAGGGTGGGGGGGTGGGGGAGAGCATCAAGAGCAGCTGAGATGTTGATTCCTGCTGGGGTTGTAAGTCAACACCAGGAAGGGAGCGTAGATAGATGCTGTTCAAGTGTCGCAGGACCTCATGCCGCCTGCCAAGTGCTTCTTGCCGGACTATGCCTTCCGCGGTGCGGAAGGGCAACTGCTGCTGTCCCAGCTCCTCAAGGGTGGGGATATCCTGAGATCGGAGGACAAGGACACCCCGCTAGTCAAAGTGTCAGAGGTGGTGGAGTACGAGGCGACCGGAGCGGGCCACGATGTTGTGAAGTTGAGCACCGCCCAGGGCACTTTCGCCGTGTCAGCGTCACACCGCGTGGTCATTCCCGGCGGCAGCAGCATTCCGGCGGCAGACCTGAAGAAGGGGGACGTGGTTCTTGTCGGTGCCAAGGAGCAGAAACTTTTGGTCGTCGCCCCTCAGAAGGTGAAGTCCAGCATTTATGGCATCAAGTTCGAGCCGGATCTGCCGATTCAGGCCTTCCCCGTGGCCAGGTTTGGCCTGCTTACGATGGGAGAGACACATGCCGACTCCACCAGTGATGTGCTGAGCCTTTGTGGCGAAACCGAAGTGGGTGTGCCCTCTACCTGAGCACAAGACTCGCGCAATCTTACAAGCTTTTCGGGCCTTGAGCACGGCCAGTTTAAACAAGCAGGGTGAGGTTCCTGCCTGTGATATTGCACTTGCAACGCAGTCTGGCATCATATCTTCCTTGCTACATTTCTTCCGTGCGTGCCTGTGAGACGAAAAAGGCAGTCGTAAGGCAATCGTACGCATGAAAGTAGAAGGTGCCCTGTGCTCAGAACTGGGGATGTTGTACTTGGCCCTGCACTTGCTTCTTTCAGCTCAGGCACATCCTGTGGACATGCAGACCCGCAAGATCCGGGAAGGCTGAGCCAGTCTCACTAGCTGCAGTGCGGTTTTGTGGGCAATGTGCAAACACGGCATGTTCGCAGGCATCACTAGGTTTTGGAGTTGCAGCACATTCTCAAGTGGTTTGTAGAGCTGCTCACTTTCCCCACACTGCACATGACCAGAAATTCAAGTTCACTTGGTTTGAGCTATGTCTGTTCACAGTGGACAATGGACCCGATCGATCCTGCTAAGTTGAAGGAACATCAAGTTGACACGGTTGAATTGTGATGCCACTCCGGTCCGGATGCAGGTTGGAGCCAAGGTCCGATGATACAAAGGGTTTCATGCATATGTCATTTTTAATGCATATCTTCCGCAGAAATGGCAGATGACCCAAGGCACAAAAGGAAGGGAAACGGGGCTTGTGGCAGATGCCTCCAATGGCAAATGCTTAGGTATAATTACACCTTGTCATGCGATGCGCCCGCTGGAATCCCTATCTCCGACACAAGTTCGCTGGGTTCAAGAAGCAATCCTTAACTGAAGTGAATGGCGGGTGACCTTGCCTGCTGCTGAATTAAAGAAATGCCAAAGGACCCATGCATGTTTATTGGATCGGGGACGGGCGATGGAATTGGAGGATCTCGCTTCTTGGGGATTCAGTTTGGAAACATTTCTTGAAACAGTCGGGCCATTTGGGCCATTCTGTTTGCAAACGCGCACATTGAACGCGCCCAGACGAAAAAAAGTTTCACCAACGCCCCAAATCAATTGATGACTTTCGCTGAGGCTCATCTTGAATTTGCCCTGAGCTTTAGCACTCCCCCTTAAATCGAATTTACTCTAGGAAGCTGTCAACTTGTTTCGGGGTGGGTTTGAGAGGGCAGCTCCTGCGAGCACCTCTGCTCCGATCTTGGAGAAAGGCAACCCAGAAATTTCCAACTGACACTCGTGCCCCTGCCAAAAGGTCGGAAGAGACGCACCTAGAAGATTCCGGGTGATTCCGTGATTCATGGGAAGGAACAAGTCCAGGGTTCGGACAGTTTGGTTTTCGGTACGACCTCTTTTTGTTGTTGCTTATTCTCTGTGATGCGGCGATAAAACCAGAAAGGGCATGGGAATTCAAACGATATGGGTTTGTGTGATATGTGACATATGTGTAAGGCAAAGGGATTTCCGTTTCCGCAGCTCCCCGTCCGTTTCCACTTGCTCGCTTTGGCTCGCAGTGTTTGACCCAGGAAGGGCAAAGGAGTCTTCAGGGATCCTGAAATTCTGAGAAGTGTTTTGGGTGAATCCTGCTCCGGGAGTCATGATCTTCTTTTCTTTCTTTTCCTGAAAGCACACGAGCCGCTTAGTGGCCAATCGGTTCCGAAAATGTGCCCTTTCTTGCAGATGTGGGTAGACATGGGAGCTGCAAGGGGTGGTGTAAGGAACCCTGAAGTGATATCATGCGGCTTGTGTGGTTGGCACCACTTAGGTTAGCACTGTCAATCCATGTGCCTGGTTTCCAGATGCTTCGTTTTACCTTACAACCAGCATGGAGCCTCGCGCCCATCAGCTTCTTTCATTGGGCAGCCAGGGACTTTTCCCATTTCATTTTGGCCCAAGAAACCCATCAGCTCTGAGCCGAGCCAACTCACCCACTGGGAACCGACCGCTTGAGACATTGCGAGCCCATGGGCCGGCCTCGCGCGACGCGTCGACGTCGGGAGGAGGAGGCCAGTTGAAAGGCAGGGCCCGCATTCGCTGTGCAGGCTTTTTTTTTGGCGGTTTCAAGATTTCCTCCGAGTTTTTGATTTCAGGTGGATTAATGTATGGGCTTCCCTCTTTGGTGGGGTGTTGAGGGGTGATCCACCGAAACCCAACTGGTGCCTCACATCTGCGCGCCGAGGCGAGGCGAGTCGATGAGGCCATGACGAGCCGGCGCAGCAGCTGGGATGAGGCCGGTTTGGTGGAGGCATCGCGCCTCCCCAAGCTCAACACAAGTGGCCGTGGCACAAAAAAACCGGTACCAAAATGGAACCCAGGTAAGTGGAAACATGGACCAAAATCTGCGTCTCCCATCCTGTTTAATTTTGAGCCACACACAAGTAACGGAGGCTTGGGAGGTGTTGCAGGTTTAAGTGAAAGGTTCCTTGCCTACATGCAAAAATCCACCACAGCAACCAGGGAGTTGCCGCTAGTTTCATGGACGCACCCTTTTTAGCGACCAAAAACAGAACTATTGGATCACTGGATTTCCAATTGAGCTCCAACATGCGGTGCATGGACAACTTCTTGCACCACCAGTAGGTGGTCCATACCAGTGCTAGTTTTGGTTTCGTCCACCCTAACTGGTGAAGACTTCGTCCACCAGTATGCAAAGCTCGCCGCAATCTCTTTTGGGTCTTCGGAGGTTTTTTGGGAGCTGTTCCGATCTTGCCGTATTTATCATGTTGTGGCCACATGAGGTTGCCTCCAAACAGGGAACATTTCTGGGAGGGATCAGGACAGCCTGGAATTGTCCGATGGAATTGTCCGATGGAACTTCAGCGCAGGCAGATGAGGAGCACTCGCTGGCCATGCGCAAGGTTCGTGGTTTTTGTGTGGGTGGCGATCATGTTTGGGGCAGGTTAAGCAAGGATCGTATTGCACAGCCGGACATCAGGGGATGATATGGCACACCACACGTTTTCTTTGAAGCACCGATGGCGAGCTCTGGCACTAGATTTCGCTGCTTAGACGGGAGTTCCAGCTTCACTTCACCTAAGTCTCAGGCTTGCAGGGTTGCTCTGAACTGGCATTGCGCGCCTTTTTGTTGTTGTTTTGTTTTGTCACCAACGTTTTGCTTCAGCAATTGATGTGAGGGTTCCTTCAGTTTTTGAGTATATCAGGTCACCAAGAGGCTCAAAGGCGAAGCTGTGTATCCATCGCAGAAACACTTTTGCCGCGTTCAGTATCTATGCCACCTGTTTCCGAGTCCAAGATGGCGCAGGCGATTACCATGCTCAGGAACTACCTTTACAAGAAGGAGCCGAGTTGCCTTGGGAAGAGGCTACGCAAACTGTTTCCCTGATCGCAGGCATTGCGTAGATTCTGGTGCAGTATCCTTGCGTTTGAAGCCCGATCAGCACATGCTTAGTTGCTCGTCAGGAAAGCTTGAAGCCATGCCTTCTGTAGATTATTGCAGAAGCTATGTTTTGGGTCTAAAGCCTTTGTTTTGAGAATGACCTACTCTTTCAGTGGGTTCTAGAGAATGCTGGTTTTCCACATGGGGACAGTGTGAGATAAACCAAAGGTAGAGGGACACCGGTTCGTTCATGTGAGCATCTTTCTTTGAGGCTCTGAAATTAGATTTGAGAGAGTGACCCGGGGAACAAAAGTAAAGGCACCCCATGGCCCCCGAATATCCTGGTTGGTGACTCCTTTGATGACCCGGTAGTTAGCCCAAAAAAGGGAGAGCACATGCCCTTTGAGATCTATACTTACGTATTCTCACCCACCTTTCCAGGGGGCGGATGTCTAATTTCCGATTGCCTTTTGCCTTGGAGATCAGTTCAGGGGTGCGACTACTCCAGGCTGGTGGTTCATGAATCCAACCCCTGAATAAGGAGGGGAAACCAACCGGAACCTTGAGGATGAGCACTCCTGGAATCTGGTTTTCCAAGATCGACCAGCTGAGACTGGGACCTCCCCTTAACTCTTTCTCGACTTTTCGATTTGGAAGGCTTCTTGGTCGGGTAAAGTGGTCTTCTTCGGGCTTTCACTCAGACACCACCCCTGAAAAGCCAAGAAAAAGAGAAACCCGGCCCCGCAAGCGAGCGATGCCCAGGAGGCCTCGATCCTGAAGTCATGGTTCAAGCACTTCGACTCCAACATGAATGGCATCATGGAGAAGTCCGAGTTCCTCTCCTGCCGGGAGCTTGGCAGGCGGATCGATCGTTTTTTTTTTTTTTTTCTTAAAGAGGCGTGGCGGGTGGTTTTGGATGGGACATCAGCAGAGAGCCACCGCATTTCGGGCAGTTTCCCTTGGAACTTCCTAAGCTCCCAGTTCCCGAGAAATTGGGGATAAGCTCAGTTGGGCATTGTCACCGGGGACCCAAGGACAGCCTGACGGTGTTGAGCCGACGCGGCCCTTTCAAATCTGTTTGAATTCTCGACTGGCGGTTCAACACCAACTTTGGCTGAAAAATGGGCCAGCAGAAGAACCCCCCTTCTCTTTTGATTCCCGTCGATTTCCAGTTCCTCGTTTGTCGCCCTTCGGCAGCTGGTCTCACAAATGAGCCAAGATTCAAGAAAACACACAACAGGCGATTGGCTCTTCGTAGGGTGTTGAAGCACCCCAGGTTTCTTTGATCAATGAACGGTTTGTTGTCAGAACTCATGCTGGACCCGTTGCTTTCGCTGTTTTCAGGGTATGTCAAAGCGAGTTCTGATTTAGAAACACCTCTTGCCAAGAGGCAACGATAGATTCGAATTCTGAGGCTTTTGCATGCCAAGTCAGTTGAGTGGTCCAAAGCCCCTGTCCACTTCCATAAGAGCGGGGCGTGGTGAAACCCAGGCTCGGGCATTTCTTCATCAACTCGCCCCCCCGCCCCCCAAGAAGGGCGCCGCTTTTTCTGATCGAAATCCCAGACTCCTGGGAATGCGGCTGGGATCAGTTGGTCAGTTGCCTGAGGCGTGTCCAAGATGTCGTACCCGGGCAACATCCAGGCACGTCGAAAGCAAAGTAGGGCTAGTACGGGTCAGCTCCCCTTTGTGGGGACCTCCCAACCCCCCCCCAACACACAACACCCAACACCCAAAAGATCGAGATCGGTGTGTGTGTGTGTGTGTGTGTGTGTGTGTGTTTGGTGTGTGTTTTGTTTTGTGTGTTTGGGTAGCAGCCAAGGTTGGTCCATCCCCTGGGCGATTAAGTAGGACGCAGTACTGGTATGACCTCAGCAAATTGCCCAAAGGGAATCCCTTTGAAGGTCATAAAAGTCACGGTTGGATGGGAAGCAAGCCCTACGCGATGTCAAGACTGAAGTATGAACTCGCATGTAATCGCCCAACACCTGCATTGTGCCAATTCAGTGAAAGGGTTCGGTTCCTCCCGGGTTTAGCGGGGATAGTAAATGGGTGTGTCTTGTTAGGAGAGCGTTTAGTTGGTGGATTGGGCGTCCAAACCATTTGGGAGCGTTTTGCGGCACACCCAAAATGGATTCTTTATAGCCATCTCATATTACATTTCCCCTGATCAGCATGAGATTGGTTTTGATACACCCTGGAAAAGCCTCAAAATACCTACTGCCAGCTTGTTAATTACACCGAAGCTGAACCTCCATCCAGCTACAACCCCCTGTCCAGCTAGCCCCTGTACCCACTTCGGGAGCAGCCCCGGAGCCTTCAGCCAGGACTTCTGGAACGAGCTGGAGCTTCCTGATGCTGAGACCATCAGCCTTCGGGAGACCGGAAAAGCGGTCACCGGATTACCCAGACTTGTTCCAGAACAGGAATCGGCAAGAGCACCACTGCGAGAGGGAATTATATGGGTTCACCAGAAAAGGGCCACGGTTGAGGGAAGGTGTCATGAGCAAGGGCCCTTTTTTGGTCCCCGAACCACGCTGAAAATAATGCCAACAAATTTGGCTACATAAGAGCAATGTTTTCGCGCGCAAACAGCCAAAGAGAGCAACATTGATAAAGCACAATCTGGTTTGTTGTTTTTGTTTGATTTGTTGTTTTCATCCAGCCACGTGTGGCATGCTCGAAAGAGCTGGTTACTCGTTGTCAAGGCCTTCATTGACAGAAGACAATCCAACAGGTTCATACGAAATGGGACTTTCGTGGCAGGGGTACTGGACTAATTCACTTTGTTACAGGATGCTCCCGTTTGTATCACAGAAAATCGATAGGCCTTCTATGTTATTTTTCTCTTGGGGGGGGGTTCCTAAAGCAAATCCCAAATTCCTTTTGGTTTGCGACTTATCCCATGCACAAGGGGCGGGTCCCACATGTCCAACTCCTGATTTCGGGGTCTTGAGCGCTGTGTTTGGAGTCACGGAGTTTGGACAGTCAAGTTCCCTTTTGAGAACCAAGGCGATGTTTTACGAAGTAATTCCCTCAGTGGTCAAACGTGTCTAAGGTTCCTAGCCCTTATCTCTCTAGTTTTGGGTTCGCCCGTGGATCCCGGGCAAGTCACCACAGTAGGAAACCCTTTGCCATGTTCGTTGAGTTTCAAGGGTGGTTTCTCTTGCCTACAAAATGAGGGAAACTGTGTGTGTGTGTGTGTGTGTGTGTGTGTGTGTGTGTGTGTGTGTGTGTGTGTGTTCTTGCGAGGATACCCTTTCGGAGCTTATAAGTCAAGGAGCCAAAACCCCCAACACGCACTCCCCAGCTCCAACTCAAGGGGGGGCTTTCAAGAGATTCCTCTGAGCTCTGGACCTGGATCGTTGGCTCGTGGCAAGGAGATCAACGAGGACCTGGCCGCGCTGTGGAGCCACTTCCGGAAGTTCTGCGGCTGCACCTTCCTCGGCGCCTGGGCACGTTGCGTTTTTGTCGACTTGGGCAGCGATTGGCCGATTTGGCGGCCAAGTGGCGGCAACTTGGGCAGCGCCGGGGTTTTTGGGTCGGCAACTTGTGCGGGCTCAGCTCGAATTGTTTGGGGTCGTGTGACTCAAAAGCGAACTGGGTACCTGAAGAAGGAACGTACTGAGGTCTCAGCAATACAACATTCAGCGCGCCTGCCAAACAGAGTCTGTTTGCGAGATGTTGACCAAGTGCACCAGACGAAGAACGCTCGCCAACATGTTTAGCACTCCGGATGCAAGAGCGCAGCCGGCCCACCCTTTGGTTGGCCAGCATCTTCGTCAATTGCAGTCAAGGCTCAGACACTTTAAACTGTTTTCGGCCATCCAACTCAGGAGGTAAGGAAGGAATCCTCCAAGATGCTTCAGGCAGGCTCTACACTCTGTCAGCACTCTTTGAAACTGGATGCACAGAAGGGTCATCCACATCAATCCCTAAAGGTCAGCGCTTGTAAAGATGCATGATGCCAACCCATGCTGCCCAGGCTTGAACCTTGCCCAAGTGCTCGCCTGGATTCAAGGAGATAGTCACCAAGTTGTTTTTTGGTAATTCGGCAGTTCCGGCAGCTTGCAGAAAGTTCCGAAGGTATCAGGGTGAGAGTTTCAGAGGTTCTGGAGGGTTCCAAGAAAGATTTCAAGAGTATTCGTGAAGAGGCAACCGGAACGACAGTTCTGGATGGCTGTGTGCTGGGGGCAACCAAAAGAAAGCCGACTTCGGGCAATCTGGGCGTATTTCGGTGCTTGGAACTGGGTCACGAAAGCGATTCGCCCTACCGCCTCGGATCTGCACATGGGTTGCGAATGCGCACCTCAAGATGCTTCAAGTCAGCGCATCCTCCCGAAGCTTCCCCATTCTGCGGGTCTTATATTTTTTTGCCACACAAACCATCCCGCATCTGAACTAAGAAGTTGCGCATACCAAGGATTCCTTTCGCTACACAGCTCGAGGTCTGATTTGTTGACGGAAACTCAAAAGGGTTAACTCAGGCTTTGTGGCACACGGTACATCCATAACCCGCATCCATCCCAAAGCGGCGATATGGGTTCACAGGACAGAATGCGGTGATCAGCCCCTTGCAAGTTGCGGTTGCTTCAGGTGCCAAGGACCTGCTGGTGAAGCTTACGAGCAAAGAGGATGAGAAGCCGCTTGCCGCAAGATGGGTCGTTTTTGGAGGAATCCTTGGAAGACTTCCAACTTCTTGTTGTTTTGCTTCCGCTTCCTCGACCAACCACAAAAACACAGCTTTCATGGCCAGTCAACCGAGCAGGTCAGGGTATGTCCGTCATAGGCCTCAAGGTGCCGATCTGGAAGCGAGCCTATCCGCCGGGTTGATGAGCCCGGGGTCGATATTAGACATGAGCGATGAGTGTTTGTAGGGCTCCTGCAAAGAGACAATGTATGCACTGATCACATCACCATTTCCGCCACTCAATCACACCAAAAGGAAGCCACCATTTAAGGGGAAATGTTCCGGTGGATGCTATGATAACCCCTGTTTTGCTCGGTGACTGGTGACGTTCTGGGGAATGGTTTCAGGTTTCGACCATTCGACCACCCACTTGTGGGAATGGAGTCTCTTTTTTTTTTGAGAACTCTTTTTGGGTTTCACGCTAAGCTCAGTTGTCCAAAGCGATTCGACCTTTAAACCTTTCGAGTTTCCGCTTCCATATTCAGGCCTGGTGCCAAAACTTAGTTTTTTCCCCAACAGCTGAAAGCTTTGGGGTCTCAGCCCAGATAGGCTCCGGGGTGGTCCGGGGCGGCCCTGAGGTAAGGTTGCACGAGGGTTTCACGAGGGTTCCACCAGGGTTCCACCAGGGCTCCACCAGGGCTCCAGCAGGGTTCCACCAGGGTTCCACGAGGGTTCCACAAGGTTCGGCGAGGGCTGCGGGGTGGAGCGAGCACTAAAAAGAGCACAGCATGCTGTTGGGGATATCACCTGAGCTTATTAATGTTCAGATTGATGGTAGACGTTTGTTGATGGACTCACCAAATATACTTGCTGGTGCGGTAGGCAGGGAATGAGAAATGGAATAATCCTTCTACATCGTCCAACTGGTGGTTTTTCATTACCTACCTATCGCACCGATCGCAAGCATTTCGGGGTCACAGCTGACAACCCCATGTTTCTCTGCTGGACATTTCCTGGCATATGTGCAATGCATTCAAAGCTCCGAAATCTGAGGTTGCCATGGTCCCTGTAGGCACCCTTACAATGTTTGGCCAAAACCCTGGTGGGTCCATGACCAGCCCCGGCAGATGATTTGATAGACTTGGGTGGTTCTCAGCCATCCGTCCTTAGGGTGGTTGGGTTCCGATTCTTAAGCCACTAAAGGTTAGTCACTTTTAGCAGAGGATCTGAAAACGGACAGCCCAGTGATAGACTCTGTCAACTGAGGAGGCCCAGCTCCATTCGCGCAGGACCGATCGGATGTGCCGGGACGCGGGTATGTTTTGTTTTTTTCATTTTGGGGCGGTTTCCAAGGGACACGAAAAGAACCCCCTGGAAGTCTTAGGAGGGTTTGTTCATGAGACACGAACCTGAGTTGTTTTGGCAACCTTTTTTGGGCTGGGGCTCGTCCCCAAAAGGAGACTCCACTAAAAATGGTTGATGTCGGGGGTTCCATGTAAATCTGCAGAGTGGATGTGGTTCCCCTTTGTTTTCAACCTATGACTCAGAGCTGATCTAGTCAGGACATCACGGTGCTGAGCCAAGTGGGTGGAACCACAACCGTGTACAAGACGGGAACTGCCCCTCCCCCCCCCTCCCCCCCCGGTCCCCCCCCCGGTCCACCCCTCCCTCCCTGCATATTCAATATGGTGGCTTTCCTTCGGCTTCCCTTTGAAGGGTCTCGAGAAAACAGCCCCCCCCCCACTTCAAGTCGATGGGTTTCGGGCGAAACGGCAGGTAGCCAGCCGCTCCTGGTGGATGCCCCGCACCTTGGCGCTGAACATCGGGAGTCCGCCATGGTAGTGGAGCATTTTTTTGCTTTTTGTTTTCTTTTTTGTGATGCCACTCTCAAAGTGATGCGGGACCTTCAACGTGATATTATATATATATATATATTTACATACACATATGTACTCACAGAGTTCTGGGAATAACCCATGTTGGTATCACAGGAAGACAGAAAAGAGTGATTTTCCATATCCATGAAATAGTTGTGGAATGTAAAACTTTCTGTGATACCAAAGGCGGCTGCTTTCTGGTCTTGCAGCAAAAAGGCCCTAGGATCCTTTTTCGAACAGAGGCGTTCCAGGGAACATGGTTGAAGGACGCCCTATGATTAAACACGGACCATAAATGCAGGCAATGGTGGTGGGGTCATTTCCATTTTTTCCACCGAGAACCAGCGAGCCTGTTTCGCCCCTTCTTGTTTGGGGGGCTGAAGGCGAAGGGGGCACCCTGCCGCGCATACGTTTTGGGTTGGGATCCACAGGCAACCGACGAACTGGGGGCAAACCCAATTTTTCTTTTCCGAACCAAACGAAACACACGTTTGGAGCAGTGCTGAAGGTGGAAAGCAGCGGCAGTGGAGTCAATACCTGGCTTATATTGTCGATGCTGCTTGCTCCATAGCGCAAGACCTCGAACATGCAGCAAACGGAGCCTTGAAAACCCCCCGGGTTGCGTCCAGTGTTCTCCGGAGCTCGCTGGGTCGAAGATTCGTCCGAGGCAGTGGGTGCAGGGCTTGAGGAACCTGGGCTGGATGGAAGGCGTGTGCGCGGGTTGGTGACCTGGTGGGTTGTAGTCCTTTTAAAGGGAAGCTCTGCCGGCTTCAGGATGGACAGGGTGTTTGATCGCTTTGTTGGACAATTCTCTTGGCACGCTTCCAAGAAAATCCCTAGAAACGCGGTGGGCTTCCTTCCAGTACTGTTTTCATTGTTGTGTGCCCTTGAAGGGGGTGCAGGGTCCTGCCCGTCCGGCTTGGGTTCTAGGCTCCTTTTGGTTTTGTAGGCAGACACCGTCATTGCCACGGAACCTTCAGTTCAGAACCCCTCCAAGGCAATGTGGAGACGGCACTGTCGAGCCCTCATCGAGTTTGGAACGTTTCAGGGGTCACACCTAGGTATACGTAGGTGGCCCTGTTAGGTAGCTTGGACATCTCCTTATCCTTGGAGCCAATTGGGATTGAGTTCATTGGGGTGATCTTTGCGAGCCAATGGTGTCCCCTGTCCACCTCCGGCAAGCCAAGGCCAACCTTTGAGAACTACTTGCTGCCATGTTCGCCATATCCGGAAATGAAGCACGGGTTCAAGCCCATGTTTTTTGCGTGTAGGTTCTACTGGAAATGCCCTCCATCATTTGAGCTGCAACGCCAAACTCCTGAGTTGGCACACGCTCGCAAAAGAGCTCTGAGTTGTTTTTCCCCAACAGCTGAAAGCTTTGGGGTCTCAGCCCAGATAGGCTCCGGGGTGGTCCGTCCGGGGCGGCCCTGAGGTAAGGTTCCACGAGGGTTCCACCACAGTTCCACGAGGGTTCCACGAGGTTCTGCGAGGGCTGCGGGGTGGTGTGGGCACTAAAAAGAGCATATCACCTGAGCTTATTTCAGGAGGTTCGCACCTAAAAGGCGCTGCGCTAGTTTCCCCTTCCCTTCCATACCCAGCTTTGCAACCCTTTATCTAAGGGTGCCCAATTTTCCCCTTGGATGGATTCTCTCACTATTCCGCTCCAATGCTTTGGATGAGTTAATGCAAGGAACTCCGTCCCTCTCAGTGGAAGAAGGTCTTGGAAAAAGTTCGCCCTTCAACCAGCACACGTTTCTGATTGGGTGGGGGGTCCCTGTGCGCTTTGGGCGTCGTTTCTCCTTTCCGCCCTCCCAGCCCAAACGCCTCTTCACACGTCCAGAGCGTGGCTTGGGCTTTCCGAACTACTAGCGGGAAAGGGCAGCGGTGCCCCTTTCTCCTTCGCCGATTTTGACGTGCTCTGAACGATTCTGCGCGGCAGACGAGAAGTCCAACAACATGCTTTCAGGGAACGCATTGCTAAAATTGTACGGCAATGCAGTGACCCTGTCAGAATAGGCTTGCTCCGCTTGTAAAGTGCCCCAATTGATTCAGTTCGGGGGCTAAATAAAACAAGTCCCAACCCTCCACCGCATGGCCTTGGGGAAGCTGACACGTCCCAGCTTTCCCAGAAGGGCGGGGGACAAGCCAAAGCACGAGAACGCACACCAAGGCGAAAAGAAGAGGGTGTCAAATTAAACCCAAGCCGAAGCAAAACAGGGGAGAGGTCCCAACCGGGAAAAGCACCCAGAGAAGCAACACGTCCAGAGCCAGCGAGGCTACGAGGAGATGCTCTTCGAAGCTTTGGACCTGCACGACGAGGGCTTGTTGGGCCAGAGGAGAGGATGGGAAAGGCAGATTCTGATGCGGAGGCTTGCCCCAATTTTTGATGGTCTTGACAAGGAAACCAAAAGGCAACCCGCCATGGCGGGGGTCCAAAACAGAAAGCTGGGTCGGTCCTGCCCTAAGTGCTTGTCTAAAAAAGGAAACCACGAGGCGCAAGCCATTTGGCCATGTTGGGGGTCCAAATCCTTAAGAGAGATCACACCCTGGTCAAACAGTCCACAGCTTATGATTTCCTTTTGACTTTTGGACCGCGGCTGATCGGGAATCCCGAGGCTCCAAGTCGCTATGTTTGGTTTGCTTTGGTGACCCTCAAAACTGAGCAAAAAGTAGAGCACCCCCCATAGATTCGCGGCCATTGAGGGTCGTACGCGGTTCGGTTTCAGGGCCTGAGGCCAGCGGTGAGAAACCAGACACAAGATGGGTGAGGGCAGAACCTGGAGCCTCTCATGTCGCAAAAGTCGGGGATATAACCCAAACAAGGCCCCTGTTTGAGGATTTTCGAGAACGGAAGACGGGTTGGGCAAGCTAGAAGGAGCTCACCCATGGATTTGGGTAAAACGAGGGGATTTGCCGCTGAAGGCCCTTCAAGGGGGGAGGGGGCTCCCGGCAGTTTTTGGAACTCCACCAAGCAGTTCTTCAGTGTCGGCGCTTATCAACCCACGCAGAAGTCGGAGGCCGTGTTGGTGGCTGCGTATCTCTAGGACTGGGATATTGCGCCAGAATTCCGGGGTGATTTCCAATTCTTGGGGTAGCTTGAGGGTCCAGGTACTGAGGGGAGTTGTCAAGCATACGGCCCCTTTTGGCACCCTGGCACCGCCTCAAATGGCGCCTTATGAAGGGGGCTACCAAAATGACCCCTAGGTTTGACAGCCCAGTTGTGTTTCCCGCCCTTTCTTTGTGGAGATCCTTCTTTTGGAACAGTTGCCAAAAGCGAAGGGGAATCTTGGTGGTTTGCCGAACAAATAATGGGGCTACGTGCGGAAAAGTGAAGCCATGATGATCGACGATGAGAAAACCAAAGAAGCGTCTATGCCATGAGTTCGTACCAGGGGTTCGCATATGGGCGACAGGCAATACCAACCTTCCAACATAAACATACATAGCGAAAAGACACACTTCTTGAAGGGGCCCTTTGACAAGCAAGGACAAATCGGTGGACCGCTGGCCTCAATCAACAAAGCAGCTGGCAGTCCTTTGGTTCGATGAGACGGGCCGTCGCGCAGGAACTTCCATTGGCTGGAGCCGGAGGTGCGTCGGCACCTGCTGAAGTGCGAGGCCAAGAAGAAGGCGCAAGAGAGACGAGTGTCGGCTTCGGACCGAAGCGGACGCGAAAAAAAAAAAGAAAAAAAAAAGAGAAAGAGGGTAGAAAGCCAACCAACCAAGTGGATAGTTTTGTTGTTGTTTCCCTTCACCATCCAGAAAAAGTGGCAGTTTCTCGAAAATGGAATTCTGATGGGTTGTTTTCTTGTGGTTTCCCTTCACAGAAAGAGCTTCGCCATTTTGAGAAACCTCCAAGTGAGCCGAAATCCAAACCTGGATGAAGGGTAAGGGACGGAGATCCGCCCTTTCAAGGGGTTTGGTGCAGACCTCGCTAGCACCAGGTTGTGATTGTTTATCAGACCACTACTTCGTGAAGTCACATTAGTTTCGGGAGGACTTTGTGACACTGGGGACACACCCAGTCTTCCTAGGGCCTCTGGGAAGCAAGGCCCTTGAAGGGGTTTTGCGGGGGTGCGTCGTTTCCAAGTTGTATCCATGGCCCCAAGCTTTGGCCTTGAAAAGTAAGTGGTGTTTTCCGGGGTGCGTCCTTTGTGACCATCACCCGTGCAAAGAGTGGGAGGACGGCCACTCACTGCGCTTTGGCGCTCCGCAGGCTGCGGCAGATCAGAAGGTCCGCGTGGCTGCAAGGCGCAGAAGGGGAATTTGCGGCTTGTTGCTTCGATTTGGGGAAGTCGAGAACCAAACACATGGCTGTGGCGCTCAAAAAACTGGAATTCCGAAATGGGTTGCCCTGGAAAGGGGAAACATGGACCAAAACCTGCGGTTTGCCCCTGTTACATCACTGTTGCTTAAATTTGAGCCACACCCACATTCCCAGACTGAGTTATTCTTTTCAGCCCGCCACAACGTTAGCAGTTGGTAGCATGAGTTGAGTATTTTTTTCCTCTGGCCTGTTGGTGGGGAAGCACAAGATGGAACATATCTGGCAAAACGAGCGATTTCATCTTGGGAACATATCCTCTGATGAAGGTTTGCGACCTTGGGATACCGCTGGAAATTTGGAACCTTGACCGAAACCCGTGAAATTCGATGAATTTTCAACCAGACTGACTTAGTATTCACCCATGCTAGAAGTCTTTTGCAGGACCCTGACAATGTCCAGGAGGCACTGGCTTTGGGGTCAGGCCTCTCTTTCAACAGCTCGAGAGACCAATGCTCGCCCGACTGACAGAATAAGCTGACCACGGTGATTTTCGGCTTCAACGCTTTTTGAGGGGCCCTCTCATGAATGTGGAGAGACTGGAGAAGTAACGCATACATGCATCCCGTATCCCTGTATCCCTGTACTTTGCCAGTAATCCAGCTTGACGTTTCCTTAGATGTCATCATGGCATTTTTTGCAGCCCGGACAACCAAGAATTGGGTTGCAACAAAGCAGGATGGGTCGAGAGGATTGACATAGATGGAATTGGGCAGGATCAGCAGAAGCAAGCTGGCAGGACATTTACATCTCTAGAGCGTCTTCTTTTTGGGTCTGCATTCAATGGCTTCCCCCGGATGGGACAAGCTCATGACTGTTTGGCGTGAAGACCCGGGGAATGGATGGAATTGCCCATTCATTGTGGATGGATCATGGTTGAAGCCGGCCAAAGGGTCACGGCCCTAAATGGATTCCATACGGGTCCCTTGACACGTCCCTTGACGTGTCCGGCCAGGCGCAACCGGCAGCAGGCTTTGATCGACTTCAAGGCCCCCAACCCCCCACCCGCCCCCCGAAAAAATCCCACAGTCTCCGTTCCGAAGCCCAGACAATTGGGGCCGCGTGTTCAGTTCCTGCATATTGGTTTGCTTTTGGCTGTCCATTTTGCATGTTAAAGTGCAGTGGTGAGTCTCGATGAAATGATGGGTAGATGAAGCTCGAGGACAGTTTGAACTAGAAATAGTATCCACGAAGCATGTTTGATTCATTACCACGGGTTCGAGTAGATTCCTTCAATGAAAGGTCTGGTTGTGACTCTGTATTTGACGGGGAACACCCAGTTTGTGGACATGAACCCCAATGTATATAAATGATGTCTACCAAAGGTTTCCAAGTAAGACATATACCCACATAGAAATCTGAGTTCTACTGGGGTTGTTCTTTGTTGTTTGCTTGATTCCCCTTCGATGAAACCCCCCAAAAAGGCTGTAATTTCGAATTTTGCCAGCAGTCCCAACTTTCAATTGTGAGAGGATATCGGCCATCTTAATTCATTACCTCGGGACTTTGCCTTCTGACCCAACCGTGGATTCCTGGAAACACAGCCTGTCCAACAAATTGTTGGAACCCTGTCAGAGCTTCAGACAGGCATCAACAAAGTTCAAGCATTTTCCCGCCCTTTCCAGGAGCTCATTATGAAGAAGTCGTGGGTACACTGCTCATTACATATTCTTAAGGGGTCGTAGAGACTCCACGTACTTCAAGCATGGTGCCAAAAATGGCAAGACTCACGGCCCAACCAAGGAGTTTTTGAGGATACAGCTGGCTCAATTGTGGTTGAGTAAGGAGTTGGGAGGAGTTCACTTTTTCCAGTTGGTATAGTTTTGTCGGATCCCAGAAGTAATTTTCTTAATTGGGCCACCCCAATTAAACATAAGCACGGGCTTAATCCTTAGTTCCGATTGCCGGGGTGTTCGGTCAAGCTGATGGTTGCTAACTCAGGTTATATGAGCCTCATCAATTTGCGCACATATATATATATATACATATATATATATATATATGGATATATGTATATGCGCCTTGTATATATATATATATATTTTAACAATAATAATAATTTATATGTATCCAGCAGGGGTTGAGACCAGCTGGTGACGTCTTTTTTCTTTTTTCTTTCCGAGTCCTACATCCGGCGGCACTTCGGGGAGTCGTACCACGCCTGGCGCCGCGCGCTGGATGTGGATGGCACCTCGGGGCCTCGGGGTGGGCCAGAAGTGGCAACAGGGGAACTAGGAATCCAGTTGTACTAGGGGACACTTCCATGTTTTTATGTTTTTTGAGGGATCCGAATCTTTTCAGTACCAGGGGACACTTCCATTTTTTTTTCTCCAGGGATCCGAATCTTTTCAGAAAACCAGCAGAATCCAAGGATTCCTTTCAGGGATCCTTCCTTCTTTTCAGAAAACCAGCAGAATCCAAGGGGAAACAGCGATCGGTTTTTGAAAAGAGCGATGGTTGAAAAAAATGGGGAATCAACCCCTAGAATTGTATACGCCCCTGTTTATGGAACCTATGGGAATCCATTTGGCTGCGGGTCAAAACCAATGGTACCATTTTTTTTGTGGTGGGGGTACAGGGTTTTGACACATGGCCAATTGTACATGCCCCTGTTTATGGAACCCATGGGAATCCATTTGAGCCCTGGTGGGCGATTGTTCAACCAAAATCAGGCGAGGCGTGTTTGTTTTTGAATTGAACATCGACTAGGGTTTGGACAACGGGTTTAAATATATATATATATATATACCTTGAAGTTGGGAAAGCCCGGAACCAAAGCCCATTTGATATTTCCCCTATTTAGAGTCACACCCTCAAAAGACACGTAGGGGGCAAGTTTGACAACCCGTAAATGGCCGTGGTGTTTGATTGGTTGCAAGTTGAGATGGGCAAACATCCACTGTGAACCACCCCAACATGCTCCCTTTCTGGCCCTCAACCGAAAGGACACCAAACGAACAAAGGCTGGCTGTACCTTGAAGCTTGTGTGTGTGTTTCCCACAAACCAGCCACGTCCAGAACGAGCACTCCAGCAAATCCGCACTTCCCATTCCAGAAACGGAGGACTTCCCTCTTGTTTTTTTGTGTACGTGCTCTTTGGTTTCCCACCCACTAGCCGGCACCGGTTCGATTCATATCCACTTTCTTTTCCGCACGCTTTGCAAAACATATTATCCAAGGTGACCACTCACTGTTTTAATCAGAGTTGACATCACACCTCCCCGCACAACTGTGCATTTGGGCAATTCGTGTGAGATGTTGCACCAGCAGTTGCAACACTATTTGTCGTACAAAAAGCCAGCGGGTGGTCCTGGCCTTGGACACATGGATGTGTATTCTAGAAAAGGTGGCAAGCTTTTGGTCTGCCTTCAACACCAGAGGGGAATTTTCAAGAGGAAGGTATGTCTGGATTCAACCAAACCCCGGCCTCCCGAAGGATGACCAACCCTCAAAGGGAGAAAGTTGCTGAACATTGCTGAACGGTTTCCTTGGGCACTTGTTATTTGGATCGCATCTTTCTGCTGTGCGTATCGGGTCGCATGGGAGCGCTGCTCGCAGCGCGAGGCACCATGAACTTGCAGCGCCCCGAGCTCTTCAAGGCGTCGAATGGATTCCAATGCGAGTGGATGCGGAGCCGAAGTCAGAGAATTGCTGGATGCGGTGAGGAAAGATGACCAGATACTCCGGTTTCCTATCAGTCGTCACAACCTAGTGCAAATTGGCGGCGGTCTCGCTTTCAAATCAAGCAACAAACAGGGAAGCTGCTTCCTGTCTTCCTTTTCTTGCTGGTGCTCAGTGAATGAGGGAATGGACTCAGGCTTTGGTCCCCTGAATTCAATCCACCGGTTGGATGGTTTTTCTTGGGGTCATGCCAATTCATGCCCTGCCGATTTCGTGCCGGTCGCAAGTCTTGGTAGCAATCCCGTTTGAAGCCGGAGGTCTGCCGCACGCTTGGCTGGCGCGGGGACGTGCGCCTCTTGTGGCAAGCCCTGGACGTGGACGGTGCAGGCATGTTTGCGCAAGCCTGCCGCGTGTGCGGGGGCCGCTTCCACTGGAACCCTCAAGAGTTGGAGTTGCCTAGGGGGTGACGTTTTCTTTTTTGGGTGAGTTTTACCATGTTGTGTTTTGTTGGGGGGGATTTCCCGAAAAATGGTGATTGCAGGCTCCTCACTCCTGTTCTTCTTTTGCTTCGAGAAAGACATTGGGTATGCTTGGTGTATTTGGAACCTGCGCTTGTTCTCGCGCATGAAGGCTCTTCGACCCGGATTTTCTACTTCATGAAAACGAGGCACCAGGTTTCGCGCAGCAGTGAGGGCACAGTTGAATGTGTGCATCTTTCGAGTAAGAATCTAGGACACCTCCCCCCCAACAATCCATGGTCTGTGGTTGGTCTACTGGGGAACCCAGGATATCCCATTGACAAAGCCTGGCTTGCTAGGTGGGGGTTTATGGGCTTGTAGGTTCCGTATATGCCCCCTTTCTGGTTTTAAACATCCCTCGGGGCAATATTTGCCAATGGTTATCAATCACTTGTCTGACATGCTGGATCGTCCCTTCAACTCACTCCCGGAGTTCCTGGACTTTATCTGTTTGGGCAGGACCGTTTCAGTAGCGAACTACAAGTTTGGACCTTTGGCCAATCCACTCGAACGGAAGTGAGTTGAACAAAGCTTTGGTTGGATCAGGCTTGGCGTGTAACTTGTGTTGGACGTTGTGAGGTGTCCTTTAGGCCGAACCTTCTCGAGCGCAAGCACCCGACATCCCGACACGAAGCCCTCAACCTGGAGCCTCTGGAGCCTTTGGACGCATGGACCGTGTCTCCCATAACAGAATCCTCGAGGGGCTATGTGTTGGGGAGCGTGGTTAGTACCCATGGCAGATATCGTCTCCATGAGTGGGTTGCAACCATGACCCATCACTCACAGGGGCTACATGATTAAACAACAGTACATTCCCCGTTTTGTTTTTTTCCCCCCAAATTCCCCATTGGACTTTTTAGGCCTTCATACCTGGACTTGCGCATGGGAGCGCAATTCGTGTTGATGGCAGGTTTTCTGCTTTTTGCTTGTTTGAGCCAACAGAACATCCACAGACAAGCAACTATTTCGTTTTGCATGTTTCAGCCAACCATGCTGGAAACGTGCTGTGAATACGGCTTGGACATCGGCAGAAAAATGCGTGGACACCTGCAAGGAAATACAGTACATGGAATTTTGTGGGAAGTGCTCGGAAATCCGCAGAACCACGAAAGACATGGTGGCCTGGTAGCATCACGAAGAGGTAGGCTTGCAGAAACCAGGCTGGTCTCAGGTATGAGGGTGTGTTTGCTCGTTTGGAAATTTGTTCCTTGGGCACAACAATTCCCATGTGCCCATGGATACTCACCGCTTACCTCAGGTACCGAGTCCGTTTCTTTTTCGCCGGCTTTTGCAGGGACTGCCCTTTGAGACTCTTTGTGTTAGAGGTCCAAAAAACAGGTTGGCTCCAAGAAAGGAATTTCGCAGGCACCTGCTCCCTGCAAGAGCTGGACCCTCGGTGCGCGCGGCAGCTGGCAAAGTTCCGGCGCTGGGCCGAGGATCGAATCCGTTTTTTGGCGAATGGGCGAATGGGCGAATGGGCGAATGGGCGATCGCTCTGTTAGGGTGAGTTCCTGGGGCGTACAAAAAACAGGTCCAGGTCCCACGTGCCAGCTGAAACAAACAACCTGGGTGTGATTTCGCAGTTGGTACTTTTGTTTTGGGATGGTTTCACGAGAGGAATTGTTGTATTGTTTCTCTTTTGGGGGGATATCCTATTTTGACACATACTCATTTGGGAGCGGTTTGGGAGCACTTTTGCGAGCAGTTGGATTCGATTTTCACTTGGTGAATTCGGCACTCAAAAAGCCCAAGGTCAAGTCGGGACATTTGCTGAGTATTGCCCATCCCTTAAGAAGCCTGAGCAAATCGAGGCAACGTCGTTCAAAAACGCGGTACTCCAGTCAATGAGGGTCTCTTAGCCTTGAAACAAATCCACCCCAAATGAGCTGAGATGCGACCCTCATCCTTGTCGGTCATCCCCCCACCCATGTTTCTCGACTGCTCTGTCCACATTTTGAGTGTTGAGTTGGCTTTAGATGGTAGGCTTCATTCCGCAAGTTTCATGGCAAATCGTGGCGACCTCACACAGGTGGTTTGCGACTTCACCATGAAGTTTTTTCGTTTCTTTTTGTAGCTGTTTGTTTCTGATTGGTGAAGTCAAGTCATTCGGAAGCTTTTGTTTAGCAACCTTCGTTAGCATCATTGTAAGAAAGGCCCAAGCAGCTCAACGTTTTCCTGACCGGCATCCCGTCAACTCAGACCATCACTCCAGGAACCCCAACAAATATAACCGAACAGTTGCCTTAGCATACATGCTTGGGCAAGGGAACGCCCAAGGGCTTGGAGTTTTGTCCCTTGCCCGGCGCAATCTGCGGATGGCCAGGGGAAGTTCGGGTCAAAGCCCGCCCAAGCTCTTTGGAAGGACGGGGGCGTTTGCCACGCGGAGCGGTGACTTCGGTAAAATTTTGGGGTCCCAGTTTTGGAGTTCCGGTGCTTTTGGGTCAACTTGCCGGAAGTCAGGCACATACTCCGAAAATGCGAAGCTATACGGGCTGATGTTTATGTGGATGTTTATGTGGCTGTTCCTAGATGTGCAATCTTCCTTGAAGCTGAGAAAGACTCTCCTCAGGTGGGGGTGCCCGAATCCGGAAATGCAGGAAGTGCATTCGACAGGGCACATAGCGATCTCAAAAGGGGGTTTTGCAAGCCTCCACCGTCTCCCCAAACAATGCACACTAGCCTGATCCGGATCAGGCACTGGACCGTCATGGGAAGTTCCGGCTCAGCATCTTGGCGATGGGATGGTGGGATATTGTTCGCTTCAGTTGACTTTGGACAACGCTTCACTTCGGCGGGATGATGTTTAGAGGGGCACACACACCTTTCTCAATGTTGGTTGAACATTTTGAAACCACAGCCGGCATGTTTGGTCTCTTTGCGTCTCGTCGTTTGCTCTTTGGTTCACATATCCACCGACTTTTCGCAATGTTTTTCACATATTGGTGGGTGATGTTTACAAGACATGCTTTTGTAACCTCCAAGTCAATCTGGGGAGGAAAGGGACCTAGTGGTACCAAATCCCGCAGAGCTTCTGCATGGCCGAAGGTTCGAACCGTAGAGCCCTCCTTCAGCATGTGTTAACCTTTCTCCACGATAGAAAGAGCTCCCCCAAAACCGATTTTGGGTTCCACGTTTGTAGTTCTCTCCTGGGCAGGCAACAATCTAAGCCTTCAGTATTCCACAACTGTTTCCGGGGCGACATGTGACCTTGTTGGCATGGAACGAACCACCTTTTCATTGCAAATGGAGCGGAAGCTCCATTTGCAGAGTGTATAGCAACAAGCACAGTCTTTGTGGCAGTCCCCAACAAAGAGACAACACACGCGCACACACACATCCCAAGAAAAGCCGACAAATAGCAAGCACATGCCAAGAGAAGCAATGATAGATCAGGGGATCCTATATTTTCCCATGTGCCATCAGCCGGCCAACAGGAGACACAATTGTCACATGGCTTTTCCCTTTCTTTTGTTTTTTTTTTTTGTAATGGGTTGCAACCCAACTCATCAACTCCAGTTGATTCATTGTAGGGCGGAATCAACAAGTCCCAGCTTAGTAAAGGGTAGTAGGTGTAAGCACTGCTGGTGGGTCTTGCAGCTCTGGTTCGCACGGCTCCAGTGTTTTGCAGGGCCTCCCTTTTGGCGGAAACCAGGTAGGTCCACCCTGCCAAAAGGCGCCCCATGTTTTTCCAGATCGTTCGTTAGTTCTAAGGGCACCTTCCCCATTCTATTGCCAGTGACAACGGCTGGTTTTTAAGAACATAGTGGAATCAGCCCACAGAATGTTTCATCCATAGTTCTGGAACTGGAAAACGGCTGGGGGGAACTCTAGGCCAACCCCCGTTGCCTGCCTCGAAGCGCTTTCCACGAGTTGGCGCCCGGGGGTTCAAAAAATGGGTGGAATCGACCCAAACCGATGGTTCCATCCATAATTTATTTCCTAGGGGTAAATTCGTCGCGTTGGCGCCAGCTGCGAGGCCTGGAGGCCTTCTGCCAGAACTGCCGGCGCCTGGGGCTCGACAGCTCCGAGCGCGAGGCTCAGCGCGCAGCGGCTAGAGGGGCGACCTTTTGGGTTTTGGGTCTCTGACGTTTTGGCGGGTTATTCAAACAGGGCTCCTCAAAAGATCTCCATGTTGCCTGCCCATTTGAAACATGGGGCTTTTTCAACACCAAAATACAGGGAAACCACCATTTTCAAGTTGCAATGTTCAGGTGTTTTTCATGTAAGGAACCCTGTGAAAGGAAGTTGAAAGGAACCCCCCCCCCCCATTTTGACGGGGGGCTTGTGCCTGTGCCTTGTTTGTAAGGATGGTCCCAACATAAGGGCCGTGACCAACATATACTTGTTGGAAATTTAGTGTGTTTTTTTGGGAGAAGCTTTCCTGTTGCACTTTTTCAGGACTTTGATCAATCAAACCCACTCTCTCCAAAGTGGTCAAGGGGTTCCCTTCGCTCAGTACTATGCGCAAAGGGTGGAGGGTAGCCAGGAATGATTTGCTTGCTATTTGCCTTCTTTGAACTATTAACGGCGAATAGGTGGCTCAGGGGAAACTCCTCAGCAACATCTGTGTCACTCTTGAGGATGTCGTTCAAAACCAATCAGGGGGATTTGCTCTCAAAAAGCGGCCTCAGCTCTAAGACTTCAGCTCCCGCGGTTTTCTGCACGCAGGCATCCTTGCTTTCCTTTGCGCCGGGGAACCGATGTCGCTCTTGATCCCAACAGTAGCACTTTTTGCCATGACATTCAATTCTTGCTGAAATATGAGGCTTTTGATTCCGGCCCTTTGGACACTTGGCTTTCCATGAATGGTGTGGAAGTTCGTAAGTCTTTGAATGTGGCTGCGGTTCAGTCTTTCCGTGCAATAATCCGTTGAGCAGCTGATCAAGCAGAGCTGGCGCAAGAGCAGCTGCTCAAGCAGAGTTGTGGGCTGCCTTTTTTGAAAGAACCCTTCGCGCTGCTTTTGGAGCAAAGGGCTTCCTGCCTGTCGCCGGTTTCCGTGTAAGGCAGCAGGTCAAGGAGATTGCGGTCTGGTTGGATTGGGAGGAGAAGAAGGCCCGGATCTCTTGTCGGGCGGCCACTCAGAGGTGGCAACTTAACTTGCCAGCAGGGGTCCTGAATTTTCCCTTGGAGTTTTATCAGCCTCCCGCCCACTAGCATAGAGACTGCCTTGAGGTCCTTTGAGCAAGAAGGCAAGCAGGACCAACATCCAGTTCACAATGGGAGATCTTTGGGACAGGGGAATGCCAGTCCCTCACTCCTCGAGTTCCTAGACTTATCTTTTGAGAAAGCCATGGACAAAGGCAAACAACAACTGTGCTAGCTTTGCCATTGCGATCAGATCCCTGGTTGAGTACCGTATTCAAGAGGGAATTTGGATCACTTTGCGTGACAGGCTCATTATTCCGGGGCCGACATGACTTTTTCGTTTATTGTAGTGCTTTGTGTGTGTGTGTGTACAGTGTACATGCTTATGTACATGTCTATATGTACATGTACATGTAAACACATGTGAGTATGTATTCAATTGTGTGCGTGTATATATATATATATATATGTACACATACACACATTGGACATCTATGCATACATATACATACAGAAATAGATAGCAGTGCGTACCACATTGAGCTTGGGGTGCCTGCACAGTAGCTCCATGCGTGCGCTTCTTCGCTTGTGGTCTTCTTTCTTTCCGAGAGGATGTCAATGATGAGCAAAGCCCTGCTCAGAAAGGAATGATTTCGGTATGCTGTGGCCTTGAAGCCCTCTTACTGTTGCATTCTTACCTCAAGCCTCCGGTGGGCGACCCTTCAACCGAAAGTCAGCAAGAGCAACTCTCCCGTAGCCCCTTGTCAGTCCACCTCCATCTTTTCTTGCCGGGGGGGGCTCACCCTTTTTTGTTTGTTTGTTTGTTTGTTTTCTGTGTGTATTTGCCATGGTCAGAGTGTAACAGAACCAACAAGGCGTCTTTAGTCCCCTGCGCACTGGAGATCTGGGCTCGCGTTGCTTTTGCCGAGCTCATGACTTGATGCCGGTTTTGAGCCTTGTGTGAAAACCTCGTCCTGGTGGGGGGGCGCCTCTTTTTCAACCTCAAAACAGCCAAGAACAGCAGGGCTCCTTAAAAAACATACATTTTGCCCATTCGAAACATGTTGCTTTTCAACACCAAAAGACAGGGACACCACCATTTACAAGTTGCAATGTTCCGGTGATTTCAGGTGTGTTTCATGCATCCGGATCCCTGAACAAGTCGACCTGTCGCAGACCATCACGCTGGATGACCTGCTTTTCCTGGACATCTGGAAGCCGCCGGCTTACCTGGTGGCCGAGCCCAACCCGGCGCCTGGGCGAAGGTGAGTTGGAGTCAGCTCCCCCCAGAAACCTGGCGGATTCCCATGGGATGTGTCCCTTTCAACTGCCCCCCCAAAAAAATGAAATCGGAGATCTTTCCGCTCTTTCCGGCCAAAACGGCCATGGGCAGTCTTGGGGCTGTCAGACTTTGCTGGTGGTTTCTGAGTGTCTGGACTTCAATCTCGTTGGGTCTGGACCATGTTGGTGGCAATTGAACACCCAGCCTTTTCACAGCCCAACCCCCAATTGGATTGATTTTCGTGCGATTTGTCCGCTCTTTTGCCTGAAACCCTTGCCTTACCCCGGCTTTTTTTGCTAGGGTTTCAACAAGAACGCCTACAGCTGAATCTGATTCTTCATATTTAACAAAAGAAACCGCGCACTGCAAGGATATTATTGTTTGATCTCCAAGACAACCATTGTTACAACTCGGGGGGTTGAACATGATTTTGCCAAACAAGGAAGTAACGGTTCCAACCCCCCTTCCCCGAACTGCCCCCCTGACCCCTCCAGAAGAAATCCAAGCGGGTTTGTGTCCTATGCAAAATTCATAGGCTCCACCTATCTCAATCTTCCTCTCCCCTGGTTTCCGCAAAAAAAAACCAACAAACAAATCCGGGTTATAGCCAGGCTTAGCGCCACTTTCACCACGATTTGCTTGTGGGAAAGTCAAGAGGATCACTGAACCAAGATGGGGCAAAGGCACCATCTAAAAAACTGCGCGTTTTCGTTTGGGTATGCAGGCGTGGGATCACTTTAACGGAAAGCCAACGGAAACCACAAATTTTAGGTTGTTCCGACTCCTATTTGAGACACACCCATGTGGGTGTCTTTCTTAGGGGACCCCAAAAATGGTGGTGTTCCTTTTGGTTTCCCTTTCAAACCAACCAAGTGGGGGTTCCTCTTCGAAATTGTCACCCAACTGAAAGCAGAACGCGACCAAAACTCGCAGGCCTCGTTTTGGGTCCCCGGCAGGAGGCGGCGGTCGAGATCCGAAGGCTGTTGCACGAGAAGCACGGGCACCCGCTGAGGGCCTGGCGCTTGATGGACAAGGACTCGCCCTGGGAGCAAAAGAACTCGTCGTGGGACTCGGTGTGCATCCCTGGCGTCATGATTTTGACGGTTTCTGGGGGTCATTAAAGTCAGAAAATGGGACTGTTTCCCTTTAACCCACCACTCCGGGGGTGACTTTGATCACGGTGAAATAACGAGGCCAGTTATCCAATCACTTCTGTGATGCAAGGGACTTTGCCCCCTGAAGATTTGGGGGGAGTCGTTGGGAGGCCCTCTTTGTTGTATCACAGAAGTGGTCATTTCCCCCACGGAGCAAAAGGAAACCGGTGTCCTTTTGGCTTACCAGGCAAGCGCAAGGGTACCCAAAATGCAACAAAACAACATGGGAAGGAGCACCCATGGTTAACCTGGTTGCTTGCTTGGAGGTGGCGCCTTTTCCCTCCTTTTCAACAAGGGTCTTTTTCAACAAGGGGAGGTTCTTTGGATTTCTTTGGAAAGGATCTCTGGAAGGTGCCCCTAGATTCCCCTCCAAACCCAAAGGTACCCTGGTACCCTCAACACACACACACACACACATGGGGTGGGGGCGGTTTTGGGGGCGGAGTACTCAGAGGCTTTGGCCAAATCCGAATCAACCAGGGGCAACAGGGGACCCCTTGGTTCCAACCAGCCTGTTTCAGACACCCCATTTGCGGGCCCATCGTCGGTCAAGCACTACTCAAAGGAGGGGTTGCTGGAAGGACTGCGGTTCTAGGACTACCAGTTTGGCTAGTAGCCATCGAAATGCGGATCTCAGCCCTTGACAAGACACTTTGTAGAACGCGTGTCCTTTGCATTTGTGATACCTTGGCGCTTGGCATTCCTTGAAAACGCGAGTTGAGGGGTTTCAAGGGGAAGCCAAAAAGGAAAGCCACCATTTTGGAGGGGTCTTGTAAGAGTAGACAGACCCAAATAAAATAAGCAGAGTGGCCCAGAGACCCAATTTGGCAGGAATAGTGGGGCCTGATTTTAGACGGCCATCACGAGCGTTTAGAAGATGGAGATCATGAGATTGACGTGGATGTGCTGGATGATCGCGAGGGCAATCTTGAGAGTGTCACTTTGATGGATCCCGTGGGTTCCATCCAGCCTCAATCTGCAAATTGTCAGCCCATAAACCCACCCACTGGAAGTTGTTCTCTCGCTTGCCGAAGGACAACTCGAACACCTGCAACTGGCGCCTCGGACCACAGCACTTGTTTCAAAGATGGCAGAGTCTTGCGACAGTTGTTTCTTTTACATCCAACAAGGGGGGTTGTCACCCAAAACGGGAGGCCAATCTTTGTCGTGCATTGTTTGCTTTTTTGGGATTGCTTCATGTACTTGTTGACAGGGTTGGTTGCGCAAGTTATCGGAACATCCGAAATTCGGATGCGCTGAAAGAAAAGCAAAGAGACACTTTTGGGGCTTTGCTGAAGCTTTGAGACTGGGATTCAGAGGTCCACTACTCATTGAGCACAGCCTGAAGCTGTCATTTTTAGTTGCATCGGTTGGGACTTGTTGATTCCGCCCTCAAAAGAATCCGGAGCACTTCAGAAGGGACCTGAAACGGTAAGTTCTCTTTGATTGGTTGGGCTACAACCCCATTTTTTTGGGTTTGCCAAAGAGACACCATATTTTTCCCATTGGCTCGCACAGCCCTTGTCTGGTTTTGACAACCCAAAGCGAAACCACACATCCCATTGTTCGCCCTTGGTTTTTTACTCCCCCCCCCTCCGATTCCCCGCTTTTGGATCTGGCTGTGGCTCACAAAAGCGGTTCCCACAATTGACAATGGCACCTTGGTAAATGGAACAGGCTTAGACCTGCGGTTTGCCCTAGCTCTTTAGTTTTGAGCCGCACCCTCACAAGTCAGGATCATAGGTGCCCGTTTTGGGAAAGTGCGCGGGTTTAGTAGATTATCAAACAATCCTCCAGCAGTGCAGCTTCTATGGTCACTGCAATCAGATTTGTTACCCAACCAGGGCCACAGATCCACAAAGAACAACGACTCACTCCCAGAGTTCTTGGACTTTAGTCACTTTCTTGGCCCACTTTTGTTTGGCCAATGCACTAAACTTAGAAGTGAGACTAAACTTGCAGGTGCTCAGTAGGGAATGAGTTGGAATGAACCGAGGCTTTGGCCCCCTTCAGGGGAAATCGAACCGGGGATGCTTTATCTTGGGGTCAGAGCTCCATTTCTCCTTCCCAAATTTCCCCTTAAAGGAAACCAGCTCATTCCATCTGGCCGGGCATAACCTATGCATTTGCCAGCTATTTCCATCGTTCTTTTCAAAAAACGATCGCCATTTCCCCAGGGTTTTCGGCGGTAAGCAGCATCCCGTTCAGAACGGAACTGGAAGCTACCCCCAGAAGTTCTAAATCATTCCCTATCTCATTCGCAGCGCATCGGGAAAAAGCTTGGGAGCCGATCGCCGACCGTCGGCTTCGGAGGTACGAGTTCCTGTCCGCGGTGAAGGCGGTGAGCTTCGAGGGCGACGCCGCCGGGGCATGGATGGCCCTGGACGAGGCGCGGGCCACGTTGGGGGGGGGGGGGGGACCGTCCCGTCCGTAGCGGGCGAAAGGTGCCCGGAGGAAGCTGCGAAATCGAAACGGCTTGGGATTTTTGTGGCGAATCTGTGGATCCATGGATATCATAAGACAAAGATCACTAAAGAAGGGAGAAGAACCGGTGACCATGTGTGGGTTTGTGGCTCCTTGGATATTATAAGAGTACCAAAAGATCGCAAAAGAAGGACAAAGAGGGAGAAGACCGGGGGACATCCGCAGAAGGCGCACATCCAAACTGTTTGCTAGGAAGCTGTCTTCCCAGTACCCCACACATGCCAATTGGTGGGAGGAAGGGTAGCATGCTTGTACCCGCCGAATGCCAACTGTCAGTGGAAGGCTAGGTGGCTTCTTGGGAAGTACCCTGTCCAGCAACATAACCACCAGAGTGTCTCCTTTATGGGAAAACACATGAAGATCGTCTGCCCGGCCGTCAGCCAGGCTTTATGTGGAGGGTATGCATTATTCGGCAACAGCTCCCCTTTTTGGAGACAAACCCGAACGAAAGACCGGAATATGAGGGGCTGATAAAAATATTCTCGAGTTTTCTGCAATGGTCACGACAGTTTGGGTGTCCAGTGGTCCACAACCCCATTCTAATTCTTTGGGCTCTTTCGGTAGGCATCCTTAGGCGCACTGCATTGATGATGCCCCGCACGTTGGGCCCCAGATTTTGACTCAGCGACCTCTTATCGAAGCCAGTTTGATGGATCCCACGGGGTTTTAGTTCGGCTCGATTCTCACTTGCCAGTGGCACTTTACATATCTTTTCAAAAGGCCGTTTATGGATGCGACGCGAAGTGGGCGCGGGTGGGGGTGGGGGGTGCGGGGAAGAGGAGGCAAATCGGCCGCCAAATGTTATTGACTTTCATAGGTCCCCGCTTTCCAAGCACCAAGCACCCCGCAAGCCATGCTACCTGAAAGGAACCTGCAGGAACCTCCAATGGCATGGGGGTGCTGTGATCCCATTGAAGGGTCCTCCTTTCGACTTCTCCGAGTTCCCAGGGCTTCTTGCGAAGCCGACAAAGAGTGGTCTCCAAAAACCGGTGCGTCTGGAGTGGTCTGTTGATCAGTTGCGACAAAGGCACGGCTTGGGACCGTGCCGGTATTTGGGGGGTTTTAACGCATCTGTGGCCGTTCCTCTAAACCGCTGGTTTGTCGGTTTTGCTCATGTTTCGCTGGATTGGATATGTCGCTCCCTTATTTAGAAGAGCGCCCTTTTGCCAAAACTGTCCGGAATTTCAACAGATGTTTGGTAGAACCTTCCTAGCGCAGGCTTCCAATTCTTATACCGGAAGCGGGGTTTGTAACAGATCTCATATTGAGAACTAAAGGCATCCTTTTGGGGCAGTTCGCTTGACAACAGATGGCATTGGTGGCATTTGGAACTCGCCCTTCTTTGTTAAAGGGACACCTTGATTGAAAACGATTTTCTCGCGGACATCCCACCAACACCACGAAGGGACGCCGCGCGCTTGCACAATCTTCCTGTGAAAGCCCGTCTGGTTGGTTCCATAGAAACGTTGGTGGGCAACCTTTTAGGAGCCGGAGGATGGACCAGTGGCAAGCCCCAAAAGGTCAAGGGCAGGGTTGGGCGACATTGTTACAGCCAATACCCTGGCCACCTCGGGAACCATACATGTAGCAAACCGTGGTTTAAGCCATGGCTTACTCCACGAGCAAATTGACATAGCACCCCAAAACTGGGTCCCCCAAAACGAGTTCCTTTCGAAATGCTCGCTTCTTGGGGCAGGGAGCACCGGTCTGCCAGGCAACCAAAACAAAATGGCTGGTTACCTCCAGCAGCGCAAATAGCTGTCAGGACGCTTGCCTCGCCAGGATCTGAGTGGTGCCATCTCGCTCGCCGAGATTGCGCTTCGGCCAACCGAGAACCGGAGAACCAGAGAAGCCGAAGAGAACTACCATCAAGGCCATTGTTACCTCAAAAGGGGGGGTCTATCTGCATTGTGGTTTGCTTCTGACCTAAGGAGGGGGCCTGACATAAGAGATTGGCAAAATGGGTTGCCCAGAAAGGGGTGAGCGAATAGTGGTTTACCTTACGTGGAAAGGGTGTCAAGAATCATAGTGGAGATGCGGAGTTTGCCATTTGACTTGGTTCTGCGCTCTGTGGCTTTTGATTCCTATTCAGTTGAACATACAGGGACCCTCCTACGGGTGACATCTCTCGGATGTCTAATCTTCGATGCTCAAAGATCAATCTCTTCAAGCACCTCTTTGCTTTCCAAGATTTCTGTGTGTTGCACCCCAAAAGGGTTTCGACCCCAAAACCTTCGGGCCTCCTTTGAGGCCTCAGGCTTGTTCAGCCAGCCCATTTCAGTGTCCGCATATGCCCTCCGACCTGACGTGGTCAGTCCATAAGAACCTTTTGCAAGAGTCCACCGTAGTGTGCCAGAAGGGGTCGAATGGGCAGCAAGCCTTGTCTGCCTTGTTTGTGGGTTACCGGGTCCCCGGTTTCAATGATCGGACTTGAGAATCATGCCATCTTTCTCACATGGGCTTCCATCTCCCCAGGTTTACCAATCAACCGGTGCAAAGGGCCCACAGGGCGTGCACATGTAGGCCCCCTCCCTTGAAGGTCCCTTCCCGGGCCCGAGGTTCTTTGGAGCGCCCTTCACAGGATTGCTTTGCAACCCACACAAGCGACTAAGAAAATGAGGGCATGGGCCCAGACATGTCCACCAGGGGAAAAAAACCATTCAATGGGGACACATCGCTCGTTTTTGTCCCTTGGTTCCCCTTTTTGGTGGCTGAACAAAAATCACCTTGGCCCATAGCTGAGTTTCCCTCGGGATCGAGCTGAAGTTGTTTGGGGACACGTGTGTCTTGTTTCAGGGGGCTCAAAGTTGTGGTTTTCCTTTTGTTGCTTAGCTTCAACGACAAGGGACACCAGCTCAAAACAAGAGGCACACCCCAAAATGTGTGGTTTGGCTTCCTTTCAAAACCGTCCAAAATGGGTAGAAAGGACGATCCACCCATCTCGGGAACTCTGTCTCCCAGGATGCCAACGCGAACAGCATGCTCATCCAGCTGAAGCAGTGGGCGGACCAGGAGTTTGGCGGAGTGCGAGCAGCCTTCCGTGTTTTGGACAAGGACCGTGGCGGGGAATGGGGATTTAGGGCCACTTGTGTGTGTGTGTGTGTGTGTGTGTGTGTGTGTGTGTGTGTGTGTGTGTGTGTCTGTGTCTGTGTGTCTGTGTGTCTGTGTTTGTGTGCTTTTTGTTGCCCTTCCCCTTTGGTTTGTTGTAAAGGGAAGCGAAAAGGACAAAACACAACTTTAGGGGTCCCCCCAAGTTTTCGAACACACACACACACACAGGCCCACTTCCTGCAGGGTTGAGCAACTGTTGTTGAAACAATCAACCCAAGTTGCCCTTGAAGGGGAACCAAAAGGTACACAGTGAGTAGTGACTTCAACATATTCAAAGGGCTTGGCCCAACCCTCACTGCCTGCCTGTGATGTTCACAGGTGTAACCCCCCTGAAAGGGAGAAAGTAGTCATGGGAGTCATCTGAAAGTCAGCGTAGCTATTTATTCTTATCTACTCATGTGACGCTCACCTGAGGTTCTCCGAAGTAACACAGTTGCACACCCCGCCCCCTCAACCTGGTGGGCAAACCTTGGTTCATCGGAACACTTTATGTCTTGGGTGCATGAAGACCAAGTTGGACCCCTGCAAAGAGGGTTTCCACAGCCCATGATTCTGAGTTTTTCTAGGAATTATCAAATTCAGAAACGGGGTTGGTTCCATTTAAACTCTCTTCTGGGGGGTGACTCTGATATCGGTAAACTTATGGGGCCGTGTTTGGCAGGCCTCTTTTCCCGGTGGATTCCAGCTATCGTTGTAGTAGGTAATCAGCCATTTTGTCGTAGTTTTGAAGGGTGACTCCTTGATTCCCCATGCAGGGACTCCCGTTCAGATCAACATGGAACCCGGAACGCTGCGTTAAATTTAAGTTGCAGGGGAGTAAACCATGGTTTGAACCACCTTTTGCTACATGTCTGGTTCTCCTTCAGATATGGCCAGCGTATGGGGTTGCTTCACCGAGTTTTGCCCAACCCTTGTCTTGACCCTTTGGTGGCAGGCTTTCCACTGGTCCATCCTCCAGTTCCTAAAAGGTTGCCCACCAACGTGGCCATGGAACCAACCAGAAGGCAACCCCTTTCACAAGAAATGGTTTGGAGACGCTCGAGTATGGACATTGGGTTCCCACCCGTTTTGTCTTGAACAGATCACTCTTCTTTTGGCACGCGACTCGGCACACGACTCGGCACACGACTCGGCGCACGATTCGCTTCTTCAGGACAAGTCTGGGGAGCTGAGCATGAGCGAGTTCCGCACCGCAGTCTTTGCCTCGGAAAGAAGCGATTTCGGTGAAATCGCCATAAACTGGCTGGTTACTTGCGGCAAACTTGGGTTGGGGATGGTCGTAAACGCTTGGGGGTAGACAACCGATAACCATGTTTGCGCCAACAGAAGGACACCCAGTGGCCAGGGACTGTGGGGGCCCTTGAGGGAATTGCGGGACATGCTCCTGCAAGTGTCCTCGAAAAGAAACAAGTCATCTTGACTCTGGGCCTATGGGTCATTTGGGCAGCTTCTATTCTCTGTTTAGTCACACATTTCCCCCGCCAGGTCTTGATCTTCGGTTTCGCCGGGGAGGAGCGACGGGCGAAGTGGTGCCCAGAGCCCAGCAAGACGCCATGCCCAGACGTGTCCGTGTTTTCAGGGTACCTTTTCGGGGTTGTTTAAAAGGGGAAGCCAAAAGGAAACTCCCCCCAGTTTGACACGTTTTTGCCGTTTTCGCAGGGGACTTCCCGTTTTCAAGTCATTTGCCCCCAGAAAAATGCCCCTTGTTCTCATGGCCACAGGTCGAAGGATGACTCGAGGATGACTTAAAGGGGCGATAGTAGCCACGGGCAAATCATGGTAAGTCCCCGAAGTAGGCTTTAACCAATTAATCAGTTGCTAAGTACCCTGCCTCCTTTGAAGTAGGCAGATGCTCGGACGCAGGTAGAAGAAGCGTAACCGACTTGCAGGAGCACTTAGAATGTTTTGATCTTTAGACCCTCCGTTCTGCTTTCAACTTGGGGTGGGCCAAGGATTGGAAGAGGTCCCCTTTGGAATGCCGCAAAATTTTAGCGGTCTTTACTTCCTTTGCGTGCAAACATCGTCGTGGCGGAAGGAACAGCAAGCTCAGCTATGACGAAGCTCCGTTGGCCATTCCTTCAAATTCGGTTTGTGCCTTTTCGAGCAATTCACCCAGAAACGTAGATGGGTTCCACCGGACGCTTCTCCGCACAAACTCAGCCCCTTGTTGACCGAATACAACCATCTCAACCAAAAAAGTTCACAGGGACAGAAAGCGGAGCCAAGCAACAGGCCTTCAATCTCTCCTTGCTTCCCCAAACGAAGCAGTTTCATTGGAACTCAGCAGATGTTGAACTTTTGCAGAGGACATTTCGGGAAACATCAACCGCTGTGCCCACTGCTGCTGTCAGTCCTGCTTACCAGAAGATGGCGTTGTTTAGCAGGGCACCTAGCGTCCAAGTACACATACTGTCACATTTCAGGTGCTCAGGCCCACTGGGGGCATCTTGCCCCTGAGTGCCAGGGGGCTTCAACGTCAACGCAAATGCTTGTGTAGATATCGCGCAACCGCATCTTGGGTGGCCTACCGGGCAACAACGACGTCATCATACTGATAAGCAAATCTTGCAGTTGCAGCGTACGAAGAGCTGCCCAGTCTTTTGTGCGGCTTGCCAGCTGCAGTGAGAAGGTGCTTCTTGAGAGAGACACAAGAAACCAGGGCAGTGTGTCAACATGACAATTTTACTTGCTTGACCTGCATTTCAAAATGCCTTGACCGCATTTAAAGCAATGAGTGACCGTGGGTCTGAATGGAGTGTAGCCTGGATCAAGCGCATCTATGCATTTTGTTTTGTTGCTCATAAATCATGTCACCAAGTTCCTTTGTTGAATTTCAAATGTAATGCCACGGCCGGCAAGTTTGGCATGTCCAGCCAGACTGTGAGCACTTTCTGGACAGTGGAGAGGCGTAGCCCAAGTGAATGGGGTTCAACTCACTGTGCAAGGACACAGTTAAGAAGCTCTTTTGTTGGCTGGTTGGGGAGGGGGGTGAACAATGCTAGCCCACCAATAGAAAATCTATGGAGACTCTCTTTTGCTAGATTGTCAACATAAACAATTTAAACAAAACATGTTAAGACGCTCTTTTGCTGGCTGTTTTTGAGGGTAACACTACGGAACCCAGCCTGAACAACTCTTGAGAAGTTGTTGTCTTGGACGGTTTTGAGGGCAACGATGCTAAACCGACCATGAAAAAGCTCGTTGTTGGACGGGATTCGAGGGAGAGTCATGAAAAGCCCGTCGTGAACTCTGGCAAACAGCTCTCTTTTGCCAGAGGTAAATGGAGGTCAATCCTACCATTTTGGAAATGGACAGCAAGTGACACGCGCTGCTTCGTTTCGCAGGGTTGCTCGACCCATTCAAACACGTCCAAGTTTCATTTTTGGAACACCATTGTTTGGGTAGAGGAAACGTCTGCAACGGACTCTGAGTATTTTTTTGTCCGTGTACCCCTTTTTTGCTCGCCAAGTGTCGAACCTAAAAGCCGGGGCGCGGCTTTTTTCTTCCGCCGCCAGGAGGTGACGCTCTTCCGGTGCCTGGACGTGAACGGCCAGGGCCGGCTGCAGCTTCACGAGGCGGAAGGGGTCGGCGGCGGGCGCAGAAGCTCCGCAGTTCCAATCCAACCACTTCGGGGTTGCCTTCTTGCGTGGGTGTGTCTCTGAAAGGGAACCCACTTTGGTTTTTCAAAGAAAATCAAGTGGAAGCCCTGGCCCTTTTGGAGGTCTGAATCCAATTGGAGGATTTGTAGCGGGTTTAAACCAATCCACACCAATCATCCAATGGGAGGGAAGCAGATCCTGGGATGAGGGGTTGTCTTTCTATTGGGGAACCCTCATTTTGGTTTAAAAGGGAAGCCCCAAGGAAAAACTTACGTTTTGGGGTCCGCTAAAGGCACACGCAGAAAGTAGGCATGTGAATCAATTTGGTACTGGAGGGTACGTAGGCACGTACCAGCGCTTCAAAGCTTGGATGGTCAAGATTAAGTGAGCAACAAGCAAAACCAGGTAGATCCAGGTTAGCAAGGGAAAATCGCAGGCAGATATGGCTGTGGCTCAAAAACATGTACTAAACCTTGGTAAATGGAACCAAAGGCTAAAACCTGCGTAACCCTAGCTCTGAAATTTTGAGCCACGCCCATATGAGTGCATCCACCTGTTGAGTTCTTTTCCTGGTTCTGGGTAAGCCATTTTAGTACTAGGTTTTGACAATGCCTGAATTGTTGGTTGGTTCCCCCAAAAAGACAGATCCTGATGGAATTGGGCGTTGACTCTTGAACACTATTTATCGTAGACTTTTGCCTGTTGCGGACTAGAACAATGGAATTGGGGGACCCGATTTTAGTTCATAGGTGCACTTCTTGGACGACTGGGAGGTGCCCAATCCGGCGGATTTAGAGGCGCGCGTTTTTTAGCGAAAGCGAAAGCAAAAGCGCGGCCGGTGGTCGTGGGCGTGGGAAGGTTGCAACTTGAGGGGTGGTGACCGGGGGCAGTGGGGCCTTGTGCCTTTTTGAGTTGTCCAAAGTAAATCGACCTTTTTGACCTGAAAGGTCTTCCCTTGTGGGTACATATTTTAGCCAAGGACCTTGTAGGTTACATTTTTTCCCCAAAGGGATGGTCAAAAGGGAGGGTCACAACTGCAGATGAACATGATACCCCAGCGGACCGGACCGGATCCCTGTGCGGATCGGATCAAATGGCAGAGTGCAGGTCACATTTTGGTGACCAAAAGTGAAGCAACCAATGGATTTTGTGTGTGTTCCAACAATGTAACAAGGCCTAAATCCAATCATGTTGAGTCAAGGCCGAAGGCCTCCACTGAAGACTCATTGAGTTCGCTGAAAATTTGGGAGATCGATCCCCTTGCTTCAGGAAGTGCGCCAGCGGCGCAAGCGGGTACGTGTTTTTAACGGCTCGAAAGCCTCCCTTGCCGCAATAGAATGGACCCAACGCAACCCCGGACCCGATTGCACGGTTTTGGGGGGTGTGGTTGTTTTCTTGCGGGTCTTGAGGAGTCAACTGAGCGTCAACCTCGATCGGCAATTTCAGTAGGTGGTTCTTGTAGCTGCCCTGATATGGTTTATAGTACGGCCTATGCAAATCTGTATCACCACCTTGGTAGAGCCCAAAGTCAATAGGTTTCGTAGAATTCGGTCGGCTCAACTATAGATTCTCAGGGCCTAACATAGAAGCACGAACTGACGAGAAAGTTTCACTACCTCCAATCCTCGGGTGTAATCCGCAACCCTTGGAAGCCTCGTGGGCATCTTCCTGGGATTTTGAAGGCGGGAGGTCATATACCCCATGAAACACATTGGCCCTCTTTGGCCTTCCAGCCATCCGAAAACGCCCTTGCTGAAGGAACCCTGCCCATCTAACTCAAAACACGGTTCTGCAAAGGACATTCCTCGAAAACAGTCGGTTTTTTTGGGTGCCTTCAGTTGCAGAGTGGACCTGCGCCTCGCCAAATCTCAGCCAGTTCACAACTCCGGGGGCCAGGGGAAGCTACGACTTGCTTTTGTAGGTTCATCCGGGGCAACCGGCGTTTTGAGGCCCTCCCAAAGTACAAAGGCACGGGATTCAGAAAGGCCGTTCTTTTTTGACATGGCTTCATGAGAGGTTTTTTGATGGTTCAAAATACATTGAGCCCTTCCTTGCGCATGAATCTGAGGAGGAATTTCAAGAGAAAGCCTGGAAATACAGGGCACAAGAACCCCACCTCTGGGTGACGTGTAGCCAGCTCTGCCCCCGGCCGTGCGGCCACCGTAGGCGCCGGAGCTCCCCGAACGCAGCGCCTCGCGGCTCTCGCGGCTCTCGCGGCTCTCGCGGAGCTCCCGGCGCCCGGAGTCACAGGCGGACCCCCGCTTTGGGGTCCAGGGAGCGCATGCGGCCTCGACAAGTGGTGGTTTGTTTCATCGGATTTGTGCTTTTCACTTGGTTTTTGTATTTTTTTAAGGCTGCCTTGCTTGCTTCAGTGTTTTTGCCCTCCTCTGTGTTTTGTTCGCTGGCTCGATGTCTGGCTGGCTTTGGTTTGTTTGGCTTGGTCGGATTGTTTATTTGTTTGCTTGCTTGCTTGCTTGACTCATTCTGGTTTTGATTTAGTCTTGGGTCAGTTTGGTTTTCGCGTCTCTTCCCCTGTCCTTCGGCCGCCCTTCGCCCGCGGCCTTCGCCTCGCTCGCCGCCTTGCTCGCGCCTTGCTGCTTTGCAGTCCATCGTGGAGTACTCCACGCTGGGCCCGGGCCCGGGGTCCTACAGCATCGCCTCCACCTTTGCGCCGAGGGCGCAGATGCCCACCCACAGGCGGACCTTGTCGGGGGTTTCGGAGTCGGACTCATTCCCATCGAGCGGACGCGAGGCGTTGCTCGATGGGTGCCTAGGTTATCCCAAGTTGTTTTTTTCCTGGAAGGAAGGTGCGTGAGAGAGGCAGGGAAGGAGAGGAATGAAAGTCTGACCCGACAAACAAACCATCCAAGTGGTGGGTTTTTCTGGAAGGGAATGGACCAAGCCTGGGTATATTCAACCACATTCCCTAGTTATCGCTCCGGCAAGGAGCGGAGGGCGCCGGAGGTGGAGAGATGGGGATGGGGATAACTTGCTGGTGCGATAGGTAGGGAATGAGGGAATGAACCCACAATTCCACTCAAAGGAAACCACATGGGATGGTTGAGAGGGGTTATTCCCTCATTCCCTGCTGAGCACCAGCCAGACAAAGGAGGGGGATGGTTTCTCACGGGTTGGAGGACACCCAAGAACCCAAGAAGAGGGAGGGTTGAAAGATGGCGCGGGTAAGTGAAGGGAATGACCAAACCCAGATTGGGTCATTGTGCTATTGAGTTTTACCCGAATGCACCCTACGCTAGACTGAAAAGCAGTGGGTTCATTTCCGCCAAGAAGGGGAATCTCCTTTGTTTGAGTTTACACCGTGGGGTAGACAAAAAATATAACTTTGGGCGGATGGGTGGGTTTGTGAAGGGACGCGTTTGGAGCCATAGGACAGGCGGACACGAAGGGAGGCGCTGTTGAAACAAGTTTTTTAGAGAAAATACAAAGGCCTTAAAGTGTAAGAGGTATGCCAACTTGCCCCCAACAAGTAGTAAAAGCACTCAACAGGCCCAATCTTTTCGTCCCATTCTTGGAGAGTTTGTGGTGATGCTTGAGGGACATGAAGAGGAAGCCCTGTGGGCTTTTCCGAGATTCGAAGGCCAAGCCGACGATTAAAAAGACACACCCGGAAATTGATCAACATGACGATGAGTGGTTGGATGAACATTGTTGTGAGGTGTTGCTGAAAAATAAATGCTCATCAAACCTCCATGCAACGCTGGAAAGGGCATTGAGAGGGAAACGAGAGAGCAATCTGTTCCCTGTTCAGAATGTTGGGTCTAGGGAAGGGGGGGGGGGCGGTCGGCCCAGGACAGGCCTAAGCCAAGGATGCACCCTTGAGAGAATGTGGTTCAGAATTTATGGACACATCCTCAGGGCGGTTCCCTGACACAACTTAGCGGCTTCCAGCCGTACACTTTCAGGAGTTTAGAGAGACTTATGAAAAGTGCGAGCAAGGACTCAACGAATCACTAAGAATCTATTTTTCCAGTTGTCCTCCTTTTTTTTCTTCTGGGGTATCACTAATAGTTTGACTTGGAGCACGGAATGAACGAATCACTAAGAAATTTGTTTCCCAATTTCCCTCCTGTGGTTTTCGGTATCATAACAAAAATGGAGTCAACCTGCAGACCCACCTCGTCCGACACGATCTCGCGCGTCGCAGGCACCGTGGCGCCTCCACCTTCCGCCCGCGCCCAGAGGTGGCTTCGGAAGCGGTGGGCAAAGGGTCGATGCCTTTACAACTCAGTTGGCTACGGCTCATAAATGGATTTCCCAAGATGGCACCTTGGTTTATGTGACAAAGACTAAAACTTTGGCCAAAGCGAATCGACTTTTGGACCTTTCGGGTTTGCCCTTGGCCCAATGTTTGACTTTTGGTTTTCCCGAAAGCATGGCGAAGGGTTCTTCCGCTGGGTTCGCTTGAGTTGTTCTCATGAGAGTCATTGCAAGGAGTCATTGCAAGGAATCATCATCAGTCATTGCAAGGAGTCATTGCAAGGAGTCATTGCAAGGAGTCATTGCACGGAGTCATGAGGGTCATTGCAAGTTGCAAGGAGCCAAGTGCATGGAGTCAAGTGCAAGTTGCAAGTGCATGGAGTCAAGTGCAAGTTGCAAGTGCATGGAGTCAAGTGCAAGTTGCAAGTGGTCAAGTGCAAGTTGCAAGTGCAAGGAGTCAAGTGCAATTGACTTGAGAGGAGTTAAAATCTCTTCTTAGGGCGGCGGGGTATAGTGCCGACGACACTCTACGAAAATCGACCCTCTGCGGGGATTGGCGTGGTCGAGGTGCAAAAACTCGAGGTTTTTCGCGACTTTGTTTTAGCTCGCGCGACCCTCTGCGGGGATCGGCGTGGTCAAGGTGCAAAAACTCGGTTTTTGTTTGCGATTTTGTTTTGGCTCGCGCGACCCTCTGCGGGGAGCGGCGTGGTCGAGGTGCAAAAACTCGAGGTTTTTTGCGATTTTGTTTTGGCTCGCCGTTTCTCTGCGGGGATCGGCGTGGTCGAGGTGCAAAAACTCGAGGTCTGTTGCGACTTTTGTTGTTCGAGCTGGTCCTCGGGAGTTGTCTCGTGGTTCGCGCGCCTGCTCCCGGGACTGGCGGGTCGCGGGTTCGATTCCCCCCTGGTCCGCGGGGGTGCACGGAGCAACTTGCATAAAGCAACTTGCGCAGAGCAACTTGCGCAGAGCAAGTTGCACAGACCAGTTTGCGCAGAGCAACTTGCGCAGAGCAACTTGCACAGACCAGTTTGCGCAGAGCGCCTTGCCTAGAGCAACTTGCGCAGAGCAACTTACGCAGAGCAACTTGCGCAGAGCAACTTACGCAGAGCAACTTGCGCAGAGCAACTTGCACAGAGCAGATTGCACAGAGCAACTTGCGCAGAGCAACTTGCACGGAACAACTTGTACAGAGCAACTTGTACAGAGACATTTGCACAGAGTCAGTTGCACAAAGCAACTTGCGCAGAGCAACTTGCGCAGAGCAACTTGCACACTGCAACTTGCACAGAGCAGCGTGCGCAGAGCAACTTGCAGGGAGCAACTTGCACGGAGCAACTTGCACGGAGCAACTTGCACAGAGCAACTTGCACAGAGCAACTTGCGCAGAGCAACTTGCGCAGAGCAACTTGCACAGAGCAACTTGTGCAGAGACATTTGCACAGAGTCAGTTGCACAGAGCCTCTTGCGCAGAGCAGCTTGCACAAAGCAACTTGCGCAGAGCAACTTGCGCAGAGCAACTTGCACAGAGCAACTTGCACAGAGCAGCGTGCACAGAGCAACTTGCAGGGAGCAACTTGCACGGAGCAACTTGCACGGAGCAACTTGCACAGAGCAACTTGCGCAGAGCAACTTGCGCAGAGCAACTTGCGCAGAGCAACTTGCACAGACCAGTTTGCGCAAAGCACCTTGCCCAGAGCAACTTGCGCAGAATGGTCACGGGGCTGTGATGCTTTCGGGCCAGCCGTGGTCTAGTTCTTAAGGCTTTCCGATTGCACTGCAAGCAACTTTTTGGTTCAAGGGAGCCGAATCTTTCCAGGTCGGAGGTCGGCTGATGGCAACCGGACAGAACGCCAGTGGGCAACGGGAAATCAACCCTAGAACTACCAAACCCAAGCCCCGGAGGGAAACCGTTGTTGAACCATCGTGTTGGAAACACTCATGGTTGTTCCACCCCCCAAAAAAGGTTGTTTCTATCTCTTTGAACCAGTTTTGGGCCCAGAGTTTTTTGCTGGGCAAGAGACTGACTTTAGTCAGGCTGGCTCCTTTGGCCTTTGAAAGACTGAAGCCGCAAGGCTAGAAGTTCAGTCATGTTTCTGTGGTGTCCGTTTTCAGGAGCCGTTTTTCGACGGCGGGAGCCCGTTTTCACGGGGAAGCCGGCATGTGGATCAGTTTGGTTTCGGTTGTTGCCAAGACAGGTGAGCAGTTTTGAGGTTCCCAAGTTTGGAATGCTCACTACCTGTCACTACCTCCAAGGGAAAGAGCAGAACGAGCACTTGTGGGCAGGTGACCCCCCCAAAGTATGGCCATACTCTCCCTCAAGCGAAGGAAGCCACCGGGTACCCTTTCAATCAGACACGTCGTTTCAAGGGGTGTTGGAAGCTTTCATGGAATCGGCGGTAGGGTATCTCGTTAGAAAGTCACCGAGATACAGCGAAAGGATTGGCGTTCCAGCCGCAGCATGTTAGGATGTGTTGTGAGGGTCCTCACAAACGGATGTGTCTTTGCGAGGGGTGTGGGGGATTGGGGGTGGGGTGGGGAATCACTCATTTCCCACCAGCAGGGGACAGCCCTGATTTTTCAGTTTCCTTTATGGGAACTTCATATTGATAGCTCACGTGGGATGTCCTGCAGGTGACGTTTCTGGGCAAGCTGAAGAAAGGAGGCGCGCTGATGGGGGCTAGCCTGAGTTGTCACCTACTCCCATAGGTGTCAACAGGAAACCAAAGGAAAATCAAAGAGACAGCAGGTCTCTGTTGCTCCAATCCCAAGTTGGTGTATTTTTCCACCAGTTTTCTTTTCCAGTTAGTTTTGTAGGGTTAGTAGTAGTAGTGTTGAGCCGCCTTGAGCGTGAGGGGGGGGGTTGGTATCGGGGTGTTGGTCTAGCCGCATTCTGATACCCAAATGAAGCCTATGGCTGGTCTTCGGCGCCTAAAGGAACCGACGCCTCTTTCTTTCTTTTTTTGTGGGGGGGTGGGGGGGTGGGTCTGCCCAAAAAGAAGGGACACCATCCAAATAAACCGCCACTCTTCTTCTTCTTTTTCTTTTTGGGGGTGTCACAGCCCCAAACAAAAATCCATCACAAATGGCCTTGCTCCGTGCGCTGAGGGGCCGGGCCGAGCTCCCCGGCGCCGGTGGCGAAGCGGGTCCCTGCCTGGGGCTTCGGCACCACGCCGCGGGAGAAGGCGAGCGGGGGAGTCGGATCGGATGGGTCAAATGGGGCATGGCTCAAAGAGTGGTGAACCGCGTGGGGTGGGAACCCTGGCAAATGGGACCCACATGCAGTTTTGTTTCCTAGGGGGGGGGGCCCCTTTTTGGTGGAGAATCCTTCTTTTCAGAGGACCCCCCTGATTCAGATTGGGGGTTTATTAATCAGGGGTGAACATAACCACGGGTCCCAAATTGGGCTTATCTCAATTTGGGTTTCGCAGCGCTGACAAATTGTTGGGCATCCCTTGTGTCTTCCTTTCAGGGTTAGGCAAACCGTCTCGTTGGTTCCTTACGGAAAACAGCAGAGCTAGGGCTTGTCTCAAATGAGCCCGCAAGACGTGTGTTGAATCGCTCAACCCTCAAGGCGGAGCCGACGTCCCCTGGCCCCGGGAGTTACGAGGCGGTGGGTGGGTGGGTGGGTGGGGGGCGGGAAAGGGGGGGGGGGGTGAAGGAAAACACTCATCATCATTCCCTAAAATGGGTTGTGCTGTGGTTCTCTTGGGTTTCTTTGAGATGGGGGGCTTGGTCATGAGACCATGCATTGGATCTCTGTTGTGAATTTCGGCGGTTTGCATATCCAGGTTCACTACATTTTGGATGCCAGAACCAAAAGAAATATCTTTGGTTGGGTTTTTTCCGGTTTCATGAGGGAGTGGGTTGCTGGGATGTTCCGCAACCAATTCAAACTGAGAACACGCCTTTCCTTTTTTGGAAGTACTGCAAGGGGAAGCCTGAAATGCAAGCAGGGGAGGAGAATGTGGACTCCACTGGTAGGCTTGAACTACTTATTTGTGCACCATTCCTAACTCAATAACCTGAATTAAGAACCCCATGCGACTTTCATCAATCATGAGCTTGTTTATCACCCGGTCAGCTTGCTACAACGAACTCAAATATTTCCCAGAGAGGTCGTACTCCAAAAGATTCCGAAGCCGGACCTGTCTGCTTCCATGGTGGGCTCTTTGCTTGGCTCGCACCTTTTTGTCTGATGGCTGGGGCGCGCGACCGAAGAAGAGTCTGGAACTCCCAAAGATCCCAAGCGGCAACGGGGCCGAAAAAGGCACCCAAATCCGGCCTCCCTTGCTTCGGCAACCCGGCTGCCACATGCTTGCGGCTTCACCAAAATCAACAAAAGCCTTCACCTAGAATAACAAGATAATATTCCAAGAGAAGGAACCGAGTAAGAAGATAGAGATTGAATTGACATTTACTTCTCCAGTTTGACTGAGCGAGTCTGTTGTTGGTATCGGCTGACAATGCAATTGCGCAAGGTGGCAAGTTGGTATTTGACGACTTTGGGTTAGGTTTGGGCCCAACTGCATGATTCAGGTGGGATATTTTTGGGTTGTTTGTTGACACATTCAGGATATGTAAACTATGCGAAGCATTGGCTCGAAGAAGCTTTGCTTTCAAGGAGCCTTCACAGAGCAACGCACTCAACGATCCATACTGTGGATGGACGAAATCCGTTTCGCACCACCTAAGAAACCCTGGAATTATGTGTTCCCTGTAAATAGCAACGAACAATGGTTTCCCATGCTTTGAAAGTGTTGCAGGATTTTGTCCATCCACAGTATCATTTGCCATTCTGTGACGAATAGTCAAGGTGAGGAGCTTGCTCCTGCGTGGTGGCGCGAAGGAAGCCGGCGAACATGTGTTTAGCCTCTCGGACCTCACCGTCGCGCGTTTGCCGCGGTGCTGCGTCGTGGGCTTCGCCCACGAAGTGGACCGTGTGGCCACGGGCGCCTCGCTGGCGGAGCTTCTGGCCCTTTGTTGCGGTCCGAGTACTGGGTGCCGTGCGGGAGCAGCAATGACACCGGGAAGCCGCAGTGCAAGCCCTTGAGGACTGCCGAGGTGTTCCGTACGGGGCAGATTGCGCGCCCGGAGCTGCACAAGATCTCCCTATCAAGCCCGCGATTTTTCCCAGGCTATGGCGTCCAGCTCTTTCTGGGTTGGCTTTTTCAGGCGCTTGGAGGGCACACCTGCCCAGCGACATGGCCGTCGTTTTCGACCCCTTTGTTCCGGAGGATCATCCGCCGGATCTGCTGCACGTGCAGGAACTGAAACCCTCCGCGCTGGTGCGCGCAGGGTCGCACGACAGGCACCGGCAGACACTGGATCCGTGGTACTGCAGGCGCACGCGCGATGACACAGCAGTGCTTGAGCCCCACACCCTGCCCACATCGGCAAAGGAGGGCATTTACGTGGCCAACTTCACCAATGGACGGGGGGTGGGTGGGCCTCAACGACAGGTTCGACTTCGCCGTGGGCCAAGGCAACATGCGAAAGCACCTCGCTGCCCAGGGGCAACGGCAGCGTGTCACGCTGCCGTTTCTCTTGAGGGCAAAATCGCGTAGCGGACCTGATCGCGGCGCAGCGGAGCCGCACAAATGTAGTCATGTCTTCGGAGTGCTTGCTGTTCAACTCTACGAGCCTGGGCAGCGTCCCGGTGCACAAGCTGAGCCACACTGTGTGGATGGACGAATTCCTGCACCACTTGAAACCATGGGAAACCACTGTTTGTTGGTATTTACGGGCCGGGGTATTGAATCATTCCAGAAAGTCTCAGGTGGTGCAGGAGTTTGTGCATCCAGAGTACTATTGGCACTGGGACACCTCTGTCACAGACAGCGCCTGTGGAAGCATCGTTCAACCGTGCTGTGCTGAGCCGAGCCACTGCTAGAAGCACCGAAGATTTGACCTCGAAGGCTCTTTGGCGTGATGTGTGAGTCAACAAATCCCCCCAAATACCAGCTGATTGAACAAAGCACCCCAAATACCAGCGGATTCAATCCTTTTGAGGTGGTAGGTGACAACCGCCCTTGTGATTGCCACTGCGCTTAGGGCAGCAAGTTGTAAGACGGCTCCTCTCTATCTGAAAGGGCACCTCGTCTCGCTCAATGAGTTGATGGACTTGTTCCTTTTTGGTTTAGACCGTTCGAGTGGTCCAGGGTTTTCTTGGGGCCAAGCCACACAGGAAGTAAGTTGTTGAATCTCTGAGGCAGAAGTTCCGTGCGAGATGTGTAGACTCGAGCTGAATGTGCATTGCTTGTGTAAGACTAGTAGCTCCATTCCAGTTGATCTCCCAACGGCCATCAGATGGTGTTTAAAGTGACCTCCTTCGGTCTATTTTCTCACTCCCTCATGAACTTTCTACTTTTTGGGAAGGCCATTGGTGGTACACGAACAGTTGAGACTTCTTTTTTGTCCCGTCCACTCGATCGGAAGTGAGTTTTTGGAGCCGTTTGACAGGTAATGCTGACCCCATATTAGTCAACCCCAGTTTATTCATAGGGGGTGTCCCTGGGTTTGGTGGAGATTCACTTTTGGATTGGAACACTCATTATTGAACAGGGGTTGATTAGTATGGGGTCACCATTAACCAGCAGGGCCCACTTTTTGGATGGTAACAAATGAAATAACACCATCCTTGGAGTTTTCCCAGACCTTGAGCAAAGGGCACGCCTGCTGTTCCAAGTGGATGGCGTCCTTCACGTCAATCATTCTTCCAGCAAAACCGGCTGCCACGCCACGTTTCTTTGGCCACAAAAGCGCCTTGCGGCCTTGGCGCGCAGGGCCGCGCGGGCACCCCTCGCGGACCCAAGTTCACCCTGGGCACCAGGCGCACTGCGAAGCGGGGAAGCCCAAAACGCAGCGGCGCTGTCTGGTGCTCGTGTCTGATCTTCTTGCCTGCTTTCTTGTCGTTTCTTTGGTGTTTGGTTGTGTTTGGTCCTTTGCATCTGGGTTTTCTTTCGAAATGATTCTACAAGGTTCACCAAGCAAGTTTGCCACCAGGAGCATATTGGGGTTTGTGAAAATGCTGGAACTTGGTAGTTGAAAGAAAGCCGAAACCTTTAAAAGGAAAATGGTCTTCCAGGACCCCCAAACGTCAGTTTCCGCGTGAATTGGTGGGAGTGCCGTGCCGTCCGACCTTTGGGGCCCCGACGGCTCCGTTCGAAAATTGCTTGCGGCTTGCCAAACAAAATGCAATGGGCGTTGCTTGCACAACTGGTTTGCACATGTGGTGTTCGACGCAACATCAAGGTTTGCGGTTTGCAAGGGTGTTCTGTTTTCTTAGGTTTCCCGTTTATCTCCACGCAGTTGTTGTGATCTGCTTTTGGTGAACTTATCCAGACAGGGCTCCTACACCCACATGCTGCCTCATATAGCTTCTTGGGGATTTGACAGTGCACTGTCGTTCCCCGGGAAAACCAGGGGCACACGTCGAATTTGGTCGGATCTCCACGCTTCCCAGCTTTCGGATCTCATTTCGGATCTGGTCGGATCTCATTTCGGATCCCGCGCGTGTTTCGCTTGATTTCCCCATTTGGGCGCCAGAAGGTCTCAGGCCTTGGTTCCCAGGGTCCCTCCCGGGGGCCGGTCTTGGGTGCGGCCTGAGGCTCTGCAAAGATTCTGGCAGCCAGTTCGTAGCGATGGGTTCGGGAAGTCCTGCATATGATTTGGGCGGTGCGTCTGTTTCGCTTGGATGGGTTTGAAGGGAGGCCAAAGGAAAGCCGCTCACTTTGGGGATGTCCCCTATTTTAGAGACGAACCTATGTGGCAAATACATGTGCAATCAGAAATGCCTGGCCTAGTAGCTCGTCGATCCCTGAACAGTTTTTATCCTGAGGATGCATCCGCTGGCGCCGATGATGATGAGAACCATGTAGCAGCCGCTTTTTGCGGCCTTACTTGGATGACGGAGGGGCAAGTGGGAGTTTCGCTGGATGGTCCCTGGCATCTATTTCTTTTCCCGGAAGCATTGCGAAGGGTTCTTCTTCTAAAAGCGGCTGCCAACTTCACCTGCCAACTTCTCATGCCAACTTGTCGAGAGTTACTTCACCTGCCAACTTCTCATGCCAACTTGTCGAGAGTTACTTCACCTGCCAACTTCTCATGCCAACTTGTCGAGAGTTACTTCACCTGCCTACTTCTCATGTCAACTTTTTGAGAGTTACTTCACCTGCCAACTTCTCATGTCAACTTTTCGGCTGTTATCTCATTCTACTAAAAGCACAAGCTAATTTGTCGGGTGTTACTTCACTATCCTAAAAACACAAGCTAACTTTTCTGTTCTACCTTCACTTCTCGACTCTTAATTCTTCTTCTTTTTCTGGCGGGGGTAGGCCCGACAGGAGCTTACGAAACGCACCCCTCTGCGGAGATCGGAGATCGTGCGTGTCGAAGCGCTCTCGCTGTGGCGCCGTGCGAATTTGTCTTGAGCCCGGCGAACCCTCTGCGGAGATCGTGCGTGTCGAAGCGCTCTCGCTGTGGCGCCGTGCGAATTTGTCTTGACCGGCGAACCCTCTGCGGAGATCGTGCGTGTCGAAGCGCTCTCGCTGTGGCGCCGTGCGAATTTGTCTTGAGCCCGATGAACCCTCTGCGGGGATCGTGCGTGTCGAAGCGCTCTCGCTGTGGCGCCGCGCGAATCTGTCTTGGTCGCGGCGAACCCTCTGCGGAGATCGTGCGTGTCGAAGCGCTCTCGCTGTGGCGCCGTGCGAATTTGTCTTGACCTTGGCGAACCCTCTGCGGAGATCCTGCGCGTCGAAGCGCTCTCGCTGTGGCGCCGTGCGAATTTGTCTTGAGCGAAAGCAGGCGCGCGCACCACGAGACAACTTCCAAAAGCCGTTTCGCGAGCAAGAAAATCGCACGGCGCCACAGCGAGAGCGCTTCGACACGCACGATCTCCGCAGAGGGTTCATCGGGCTGAAGACAGATGCGCACGGCGCCACAGCGAGAGCGATCCGACACGCACGATCCCCGCAGAGGGTTCATCGGGATCCCGCGGTCCCGGGTTCGATTCCCCCCTGGTCCGCGGCAGCTCCGGCTTGAAAATCGCAGCTTTTAAGTACAAACGTAGTACGCGGAGCGTGCTCCTGCAGCTCCGGCTGGAAAATCGCAACTTTTAAGTACAGACGTAGTATGCGGAGCGTGCTCCCGCAGCTCCGGCTGGAAAATCGCAACTTTTAAGTACAAACGTAGTACGCGGAGCACACTCCCGCAGCTCCGGCTGGAAAATCACAACTTTTAAGTACAAAAAATAGTACGCGAAGTACATTCCCACAGCTCCGGCAGCACTTGCTCAGAGCAACTTGCGCAGAGCAACTTGCGCAGAGCAACTTGCACAGAGCACTTGCACAAAGCACTTGCGGAGAGCAACTTGCACAGACCAACTTGCACAGAGCACATGCGCAAAGCGCTTGCACGGAGCAACTGGCGCAGAGCAACTTGCTCAGAGCACTTGCGCAGAGCAACTTGCATAGAGCGCTTGCGTGCAGCAGCTTGCAGAGAGGAACTTGCGCGCAGCAGCCTGGAACGATGCAGCTTGCGCAGACCACTTTCGTGAGAAATCGCGCGGCGCAGTTCGTGCAAAGCACATTGCGCCGAGCAGACTCGCGCAGAGCCAACTTGCACAGAGCCAGTTGCGCAGAGCCACTCGCGAAAAGTAGCTTGCGTAGACCCAACTTTCACAGAGCCAAGCTGCGCAGAGCCATCTTGCACAGAGCTAAGTTGCGCGAGCGTGCTTTGCCAGAAACTGTGGCCGTCGTGTAAGCTTTGCTATTGATTGCTCTTCCTTTTGCTTGTAATTCGTTTCGAGCTTTACGAGCTTTACTCTTCTTGTTTTAACGGATGTAAATATGTGGGATCGAGCACTGCCATGTTTCCCCTCGTAGGACGATGAGATGGAGCTCTCATGTGACCATACGCATTGAGCATCGCCGCGCGCGGACACGCTCGCCGCAGCGATGTAAAAAGGTGTCTCCGCGGCTGGATGAGCACCTGGGGAAAAATGCTTTCGGGCCAATCGTCCTCTAGTTTGAAGTATGTGGTGTTCCCCGGACTTCGGTGTGGCCATGTTGTTTTCCCTTCTTCTTTTCCCTCTTTTTCCGGGATACTTTGGCGACTGGACATTGTTGTTGGAAACTGGGCATGGCTGTGTTTTTTTTTTGATTTCAAATAGATCCTGGCCCTATCTCAAGCTCGTGGACCCCCAACAGATCATTTGCATCCAAAGGACCCTCAAACGAAGACGCCCCTCTGGCAGCGTTCGTGGATCTAGCAAACGGTACGGTGCTGATAGGGATCTTGCACGGAAAACAGGCCTTTGGCGGACGTCATTTGTTGATTTCCGTGGGTGTTCCGACCAATGGTAAACACACATATATATATATATACAAATTGTGTAAGTATATATATATATATGTACACATATTTTGTGGGTATGTATGACACACAAACACATACATATATATATATATATACTCATATATATATATATATGTATATATATATATATATATATATCCCTCTAGCCAGCCATAGCAGCGGGTGCTCCCAACATTTTGCTTGCGAGAGCAGTGCGCTCGACCGACATTTTTTTAACGAGCAGTGGCTTCGAAAGTGAACACCGCAGAGCAGTGGATGCCCAACATATTGCAACACCTGGTTGGTTCACTCGTAGAATTTCTGAGCAGCAACCCTCCTTCTTGTCCAGTGGGTTCCACCTTTCAGACTTTTTTGGGGTGGAGTCCACTTTCCCAAAAAGGAGCATCCTATGGAGCCCGTGGCATGGAACATGGACACCAAACAGGTACACATGATGTTCGCCAAGTTTCTTCCCTAGGAACCCCTTCATTCTCTAGCCCTCATACAGTGTCGCTAGCGTTGAGGGCCAAGGCCTTGCCATTCCTAGCGTGAGTGGACCAGTCCTGGAACCCGCAAAAATCCGAAACGGGTGGTTTCCTTGGGTCACCCTCATGAACGGCAGTAGAGTTCAACGTGTTACAAGTGCTGGAAACATGTGGCCCCCCGCTTGGCCAGCGTTTCAAGGAAAGGCCTTGGGTTTGAGAGGCGAGAGGTTGAAAACCGTACCCATGAGGGTCAACAGGGGCCTGTCTACCTGGCGAGGGAACAGGGGCAGACCATGACCATTTTTTCTCTGCAACAAAGTGACTCTTCACTTGCAAAGCGCCCTACCCCTTATCGTGGTGTATGACTTGACCAGCGACTTGCGAGTTTTGGGGCTGGTGGTCGAGCTATCCAGTACTTTCCTGCATCTTTTATCGTCGCTACTGCTCGCCTCAGATTGAAGCCCGGCCAATTCGGCCGCTCGCGATGCCGCGAAGCCGCGATCTCGAACACATTTAAGTAGAACCTGGCGGATTTCGATGTCCGAGTGCCGTTTCGGTGACAGTGATGCCTTCCATATGGGTGTGTCTCCAAGGGGGTGGGTAAATTATCGGACCTTCTGAGACGGGGGCCAAGGGGCAAGCGACTTCTTGATTTATTGCCGGGAATAGTGCGCGGCATGTGTTCTTTTGTTTTTCACGTTTATGCCCATGTTCGTAACAGTGAGACAATGAAGTTCCGGGACGCTGGTCAACAGCGTTTCCCGAGTGAGACGATTTTGTACAAGGCATTTGCATTCCCCAAGCGCCGGCTATGTGGTTCCGCCCATCCTGTCTTCAGGGCTGTTGACAAGTCGATCGTTTTGGAGCGGACTGCATAGGCTGCTTCTTTGGCAGCCTTCTTGGTAGTCTTTTCCCCGGAAGCAACTCCTTGATCCCTGGAAACGACGGTTCTTGTTCCTGAGATATGCTTGGATATCAACCCAGATTGATCAACCTGGCAGATTAGGGGTCATTCCCCCCCCCAAAGTGACGGATTCCCTGTCAAATCCCCCCCCCAAAAATACATAAAATGGCACTTCTAACATCAAACCCAAAAAATCAAACAGCATACAACAAAATCAGCAAAATTCACAGAAAACAAGATAAGAACCACCAAGCAACTCAAAAACCAGAACAACCCCCAACAAAATATTCAATCAAAGCATAAAACATTAAATAATTCAAACAAGCATACCAACAAAACAGCAAAAATAAAAACCATCAAAGAACACAAACTCAAAAACACACAAAATCAAAAACAAAGCAACATACCATCAAAAAATATCAGAAGAGTATCAAACAAAATAAAAAACAAACAGCCAAAGCACGAAAAAATCAAAAGAGCATGCCAAGTTCAAACAACGCACTTTGAAAGAGACAAGCAAATCAAGGAAAAATAAAATATTTCAATCTTTACAAACCATAAGTACAGTATAATTATAACATATAAGATTTTACATGTTATTATTATAGTATGATTATAATTTCAGTACAGGATAATAATTTAATTGACAAATCTTTCTTCTTTCATACATCATTTTAAAAATAATATTAATATCTCTCAATGTATTTTGAATATTAAACTTTTTACTTTCAATAAATAATTTGATATTTTCTTTAACATCTTCTCCTTTATCTTGACTATAACACAACAACCATAATATATCATCCATCATTTCATATTTTTTCTTACTAATTTTAAGAAACTGTTTAACATAATCATAAGGTGGTATTTTATTTACAGTTAGAAATATTAAAATATCATCTTCTACATTTCTATGTCGAATTCTTTTTATTCCCAACAGACATCTGATTAATTCTTGATAATATCTCCAATTTCTACAAATTTTACATAAATCTTCTTCATCCATTGAATAATTAATAATATTATTCACTATTTCATTAGGTAAATTTAATTTATACAATTCCATATTTTCTTTTTTGAAGTGACAACAATCATAGCATTTTTTATTGATATAATTATTGATTTTATCACCATTCATTTTCCTCTTATTATATTAAGGCACTATTTCTTTAAGTCATTTTTAAGGCATTAAGAAAAATATGAAACAAACCATAAGTTTAG